CTATAGATTTTTGTTATCAATTCAGCAGTGTCTGAAAGGTGCGCATTACCAATATTGGCGGTTTTTATTATTGTTTTGTGCATCCACATCGCAGACCAACGTTCTTTATTGGTGTCGTTTGTAGGTCACGCCACGCAGTAAACCAACGACACTTGCTGGGGTAGTTTAAAAGGTCCTTTCCAGCTTTGCGTGCAATACACATGCAAACGGAGGTTCTCATAATACTTCGGGCCAGGAATATATAGGGCTCTGGATCAGGGATAAGCTCCCCTTATTACTTTAGTAAATCTATCTCTCGATGGGCCATGGACATTCGGGTAACCTGCTCTGAGCCACCAGTGCATTTTGACTCGCGTGTGTGGGGCGGTTTTCACATGGCGCAAAATGCCTTATAACAAGGATATAATTTCGACAGCATAAATAAAACAAGTAATATTTCATCATATGTTATCAGGATATTATCTTCCTTTATTTATAATCCATTTAAATTTACCATGATGCAAATGTTTATTAAACAAATCCATCCATGCCTGAAGAGATGCATTGCGCCTAGTATGATATGGTAATCGGGGCTTAGTTTTCCTAGAATCAAATTGACGTTTCGCATAAATTAGGCATTTTCAGGGAATATGCTTGTTTGATGTTTTCTCATTTCTAGTTAAAATGCTTTAATGGTTACGTCTCTCTTAAGTGTATTTACAACACTTGCTGGGTTGCACTCTGTAGCCTGTGGTTTATCTCGGAGGTAAAACGCCCCTCATCTTTCACTCTCCTTCCTTTCACATGCTCTCTGCTCCAGTAACACGATGTAACACGGTTTTTGTTCCTGGGTAGTAATGTTATTGCGTATTTGCTTATGCCTCAAAAGTATACAAAATGGCGATTATTCCCCACAAACTTTGCTTTTGTGACCAGGACTTTATGTGAAGGTTTTGACACGTGCACACGTTTTCTCATTGAAAATAGGCAAATTTCAAAATATCACTGTCCTGGTCACAAAAGCAAAGTTTGTGGGGAGTAATCGCCATTTTCTGTACTTTTGAGGCATAAGCAAATACACAATAACACTTCTCAGGAACATTTTTTTAATAAATTTGTTACACAGTGTTATTCATGGAGAGAATTATTAACTTTGCTTTTGTGTCCTGGTCACAAAAGCAAAGTTTGTGGGGAATAATCGCCATGTTCTGTACTTTTGACGCATAAGCAATTAGAAATAAGACTTACTACCCAGGAACAAAATTTTTTGTTATAGTGTAATCAGGGACTCCTTTCAAACTCGTTGGTCAAAACCTTCGCTCAGTGGGAGATCGCTCCTTCTGTGCTGCTGCTCTTGTAGATTTAACCAAATAATCTCTCAATGGGGCAAAATGTCTCTAAATGATCACTGTCATGAACTGTGATAGAACTGTATAAATGTTACAAAAACACAAAATCCGCGAGTGGCTGTGGGGCAGCACAGTCATTCTTTATACAAGGAGGCGCAACTAAGAAACACCCATCGCATTCATCATCAACACTGCCTTATAACCGAAACACACGATATAGGTCAACGGTGCCCAACCGTTTTGAGTGTGCGGACCCTTTTTCAACCTACGAGTTATTTAAAATTGTACATTTCCTTGGTGAGGATGTTATTATACTGGTAGGAACCTCCTGGTTACACCAGCCCACAGGGGATTATTGTGCATCCAAAAATGGTAGGGGTGGGGTTGGGTGGAGAGGGGAGGGTGGGGAGGGGCTGGGTGGGGAGGGTGGGAAGGGCCTGGGTGGGGAGGGTGGGGCTGGGTGGGGGCTGGGTGGGGAGGGGCTGGGTGGGGAGGGTGGGGCTGGGTGGGGGCTGGGTGGGGAGGGGCTGGGTGGGGAGGAGCTGGGTGGGGAGGGGCTGGTCACCCCGTGGTGCCCTTATAAAACTCAACGTTTAACCTACTCACGCTGGCTTGTGCCCGCCCTCACAGTCGGGCATATTTGCGGAATACACCACGCCGCCGTTGACCCTGCAGGCCATTGACCGAGCAACCCAACGTTCCTACCAGCTCCCTCCGCAGGAATGTGTTTTTTCTTTTCCGCGGACCCTCTGTAGCAGTAGCCTAACGGCCAACCAGGGGTCCGCGGACAACAGTAAGGAAACTGCTGCGACAGGCTCACGTGTTGGCAATGGCCCTCTACAAAGCAGAGAGAGGAGTGGCAGAAAAAAGTTGACCTAGATTTGTAAATTTGGAGATTGCACTTTCCACTTTAGTGTTGAACAACTGGGACATCTTGAGAAAGCTGACATGTGAGCAGTGTCTCCTCTGAATGAGGGTCGGTGCATGAAAAGTGAGCCTCAGTGTGCTGGACTAATTGAAAGCCCACACATATTTATAATAACTCATGTTGGCTTCATTGGACACGATATCATCACTTTCCGATAGTTTTTTGTATTATTCCCTTGCAGATGGCCTAATATGACGTTAACACGTAGGTTTTCACAATCAATATTATCTATAATAGAGGATTTTAGGTTAGATCGCGTAAATATGAATGTGTCGTTAAACCCACCACCAACCATCATAGCTTATTAATAATGTTTGTCACGTATACAAATATGGCAATAAGTTACTAATGTTGTGGATTTACTCTCTCAACACACTGGTGAGCTGAACTAGTAACGAATTGGCATGTTTTGTTTACGTGACAAACCTTACTAATTGGCTGTGTAGGGTGGTGGTGGGTTTAACAACACATTTATATTTAGGCGCTCTAACCCCAAAAAAACTATTATGCGTACTGAACTCAATATATTTTTCCATCTGCTTATATCTGCCTGCTCTCAACAAGAGCCTCCCTTCTGGACAATGTGATTTTAAGCGTTTCAGGACGCCCCTCGTGTGTTGTTTTCCTCATAAGGAAGAGTTTTTGATGAATGTGATGATACGTTTGTGTTATGCTGTTGTCTGTGTAGTGGTGATAACTACTCGCTGTTCGCAAGCTGTGAGAGAGCGGATCGTAAACAAGGTTTTCCCGCTCAATCAAACGGTCAGGGTCAAATGGGGTGAGGTAGGATCCAAACGCCAGATTGGGAAGGACCAATCGGAGGGTTCCACAAGGTGGCCGTGGATTGGACAACCCGGCCACGAACAGGTATAAAAGCCGGAGCGCTGAGAGCTCTTGGCCAGTTCTGCTACACGAAGACCCAAGTCGGCCGAAGACATCTAGGACCCTGGACCAAGCCTTCCAGCCCTTGTCAGGGCTGGGGCTCAGAGTAACCAGTGGTCAGGGGAGATAGGTCCTGGATAGAACCCTGGCTCCCAGCCTTCCCGCCCTTGTGAGGGCGAAGGTCCTGAGCGACCAGAGGTCGGGGACCCGCCGGGCCAGCGGCGGGTCAGTGTGCCTCCCCTAGGTCCCAGCCGGAGGACGCTTGGCTAGCGGGGAGATTAGATAAACAGCAGGTCCGGAGGCTTGTCCTCCTTAGAATAGGAGCTCAGCATGAGTGTGGAGCTGTACAAGGTCTGGAGGCTGTACCTCCTCAGGGTAACGGGTGAGGGGACCATATACCCCTTTATGTAATAAGGATTGTGTAATAAGGCAATAAACCGTGTGTGCCATAAAGAAGTTTATAAGTCCGTATTTTACAACACTACACCTGTGTAGCACTGATGATGCAATTCCTTCATTTATTTTTGTCCATAAAAGAAAATGAAGGTGGACTACATTATACTGATTATTAGTTACGTAATGGCCTTGTCTTTCTAGGATAGGGCCTTCTATGTGTAACAGAGGGCTTTGCTGGGACAGCTCTCACATCCCCCTGAGTCTTAGCTGCTACAAGGCAGACCACACCAGGGCAATAATATATAATGAGTGACTCGTTTTATAACTGTGATAAGCACACAGCTGCTAACATTTTAAATTTAATTTTAAGACATTTACTAAGGCATTGCCACCAAGTTCATTTGGATTATGAATCCCACATTCAAAATATTTTATTTCATGATGTGCCTCTCAACTCCAATGTTACATTTCAAGAGTAAATAATAAATATGCTTTTGAACAATTACACCTCAAGCATAGCACATCATTGCATCTATCGTATATCGTATATATACAGTAGAAACTTCCTCCGGGTCAGTTAATGGAAAATTGCAAAGCCACTTGTGGCTAGAACTATTCCATTGTGGTCTGAAATAAACTTTAGTACTAGAGACTAATGGAAAAATAAAACCCCTTCATTAATTAATAGCAAAATCTGCGCCTAAAAAACCAGCATTGACCGTCACGCGCGTATCGTTTACAAATGTCAATCACAGATGTCTCATCATCAACCCAGCCATTGAACCCCCTGGATGTGACCTTCCTTGAAAGCAATGGTGCACCCTTGAGTCGAGTTCCTCGTAGCACCCGTGGTTGATGTGGCCATCACCCATTGAAGTGGAGAATCAGAGAAGCCTGCCGGCACGCGACTCTGGAAATCCTGAGCAAGACTGTGCGTCGCATTTTAAACCACTGTGAACCTGGGACATTTCAGTAGACGAATTCAAGACATCCATTCAGTTTCCCGTGAGGCTGGACTTCGGCTGTCAGACCTGAACACGCAAGACAATGTCGTCGCAAACAACACACAAACGTGTGAAAAGCACTGAGCTTTTGTGCATTATGCAAAAGCCATCAGAAGCTCCTGAAGAAGTGCACTGTGGTTTAAAGCTTCCGTGACTGCAGGGATTCATCTTCTTGGTTCTTTCGGTAAAGTCACGTAGAAGGGAAGGCTGCTTGCGTTGTGGCCGAAACGTCGTGAGAATTATTTTATGTTTTATTTTTATTATTTTATTACTTCCCTTCTACGTGACTTTACCGAAAGAACCAAGAAGAAGACGTGCACTGTGGTTAATTAAAAAAAATATATGTGTGCATGTTGTTTGAAACTTAAGGTTTCTGGCCTGCACTATTCCGTTTTGAAGGGTTGGTCTCGTCTCTTACAGATTTGATTAACATGATTGCTTGTCGTGTGTTGTCGTGCGTAGGCTGTTGGTTGGGGCGCCCAGCTTGTTGTCATCTGGTCCACGAACCGGGGACTTGTACAAGTGTCCTGTCCCCTCACGTAATGGGAACTGTGAGAAGCTGCAGTTCAGTGGTCAGTATACTCATTTGTGTTTGTGTGTGTGTGGGTTTGTAAGTATATGTGTGAGAGGTGGTGCTGCGGTTTGTGCACCGTGTTAAGAACCTGGCAACTTGAGTTTGATCCCAGCCACAGTTTGCATCAGTGGCATGTAGAATCATAAACTATCCGGATAACTCAGCCTAAAGCGAGCTCCTGATCCAGTGTGTAAGCATCAGTGCTCAGATACCAACGTGGCCCAGGCTTGATGTTGGTCCCGCACCACACCATCACCTATGCCAGTGTTCTTCAGTGCAAGGCACTGAAGAACACTGCTTTTATGGCTTTATTTTGGTGATTTTCGAAAAGTTTTTTGGTTTGGCCATGTTTGTTTGTTGTAGTACAGAGTTAGACTGATGGCCTTAATCTAAGTTGTCTTGTGGTTGTTGTTGTTTGACTTGCATCCCACTGGGATATTTGCACAGGGTTGGTGTACGGTGATTTTTCTGCAATATTTTGCTGTCTTTTCTGTTTGCACATAGTCACTTTAAGATGTTTTCTTGTTCATGTTTTTTTGTTTGTTGCGGTTGCATCCGATTCAAGAGCCGAAGGGCTCACAGGGCTATACCTAATTAATGAACTTTGAACTTTGAACGTGGCCTTTAGTGCGGCCCTGATTTCTAGCTCCCCTGACAATACACAAATAGTGAAAACACCCCTTGCAGGCGGTGTGGCGGCCTGATGTCTTATCGGCGAAAGTGGCCCCCCTCTGAAAAGGAGTGAAGAACAATGACCTATGCTGTGTCAGCCTTTATTGGTGCTTTCTAACAGCACTCGCACTCAAAATCTGTATGATTGTAGGGGTAAATATATATTTTTTGTGTTTTTTTAAAGTGAGAGTAAGTTTCGATTTAAAGCTTCCGTGACTGCAGGGATTCATCTTCTTGGTTCTTTCGGTAAAGTCACGTAGAAGGAAAACAATAAAATAATAAAAATAAAACACAACAAAATAATTCTCACGACGTTTCGGCCACAATGCAAGCAGCCGTCCTCAGGTGGACTTTACCGAAAGAACCAAGAAGATGAGAATAAGTTTGGAAGGCATTTTATTCTACGTTTAATGCCTGGGTCTATATGGCTACGTCAACCCCGACTTGGCCCCTGGGTTTGGTGCGACACTCCAGTTGGATCATGTTGGCATCCCAAGAACGCTCTTGAGGAAAGCAACAGTGTGGAGTATCCTAGCGCAGACTGTTGCTGTTGCGAGGTGAAGACGGCAGGGGGGCGGGGGCACTGGCGGAGCCGGTGGGGGGGGGGGGGGGGGGTGGCACGTGCCCCCCCAATGAACCGATCGAAATCCATAATTTCGATCGGATCATTGGGGTTTATTAGTAATAAATCGGCATTTTGCGACCCCCCACTGCCACTGTGTAGCATATTATTACGTGCCAGGGACTCTATGAGATGATAGGACAATAGTGTGAGTCCATATTTGGCAATAAGTAACGGCAAAGCAGTTATAAGTGACTCAGAACTGTGCGCAGTTGCGAATAGAGTCCACGACTTCCCTGAAGACAAACACCTTCAGCGAGCGCGATGCCGATCACACAACGCGGTTCGAATTCGACCCTTGATCAATGGCTGCACCATCGCCGCACACACGTCGAATAAAAAGCAAGGGACAAGTCCTTACTTGCTAACAACTCCTATCATTTTTCATTGCTGGAGGGGTTGCCCCCTCTACCTGAAAATCCTGGCTCCGCCATTGGGCGGGGGGGGGGGGGCGAGAGTGAGTGGGATGGAGGGAGCTGGAGCCATGGACCTGTCCCATGGACAGAGAGTTTAGGAAGAAGAGCAGCGCTTGCTCCAGTAGTCTGCATGGCTTTAGGGGGGATCCTTGTCTCTCTTCGGCAGATTCCATCACCATCCCGGATGTGTCGGAGGTGAGGGAGAACATGTCTCTGGGGCTGAGCCTGGCCGTCCACCCCAGGACCAAGAATATCATGGTGAGCAGCATTCCAAGTGTGTGCATCCGGCCTGGCCCTGGCCACGATAAGGGGCCTACTGTAGAAGTCATGCAACTGCATTGCCACGCTACTATTGATGTGTTCAATTATGTTTTACTGTCATCATCATCATCACAATCATACTACTGTTGATTTATTTAGATGTGTTTGTCATTCTGCTTATAACTCAAGAACCATATGTAGCATAAGAATAATGCACATTTAAAATCATCAAAAACACCTCTTCTCCAAAATGCAAGGCTTTTGTTGACGAAGCGCTTTAAAGAAGGATTATGACATAGCGCTATTGTGATTGCTCCAACTTCTCTATATGGGGACAAATTAGATCACATCAACATTTAATCTGACCAATTTTTCATTAATAGCTGTGTATATGAGGTCTATGTACACAGACCATGAATTGTGAGGTCATATTCAATCACCCAACTCTATGATTTAAATGTTTTAAACAGAGGTTTGAACCAGTGGAACCTGCACTACCTTTCCACTTTCTCACGTAGTGAAGATAGTGCCGCAGACTGTATATGGCTTCTACTGTCATCAAGTCGCTAACCCCTGCAACTCTCCAGCACATGATGAAGTTATGCTGTGTGAATTGAAGGCTGTTTTTTTTTAATTCAAATACTGGCTTTGTCATTACTAGATTTGTGACATTACTTGAATCCGTATGATAAAACATGCGGATATTTTTTCTTTTGTACAGTGCACACTGTAGTTTCTATTTACTGGTGGTAACTTGGGAAAAAGTAGATGGTGATGATGACATTATCTGGACATGTGATTGAACATTTAAGCCTGCCCGATGTATTATACAGCGCAGGCTGTAACTACAACAAAAACAGCCACACAGAAGAAATGTCGTGACATCAGCCATAAATATCATTGAAATGGGTTCTAAAGAGAAACCCATTAAACCTATTGAGAGGCAACTTTTTATCTATATATATATGCTTGTTTACCCAGCAAGGCCTCATCAAGTCTCAAGACACTTTTTCAGGAGGGTCCTGCCAAGATTTCACAGTCGAGAAGCCACGTGTTATGTTTAATCCCTGTGTTCAATAGCACCTCAAATCAACATCTTGCCGTCAAACCAAAGCTTTGAGATGAATGAAGTTTCTGTCATCCGAATGTTATTTGAGGGGACACTTTGTATTTTGCTAAAACTGTGCATCCCCTCTTGATGAACAAGACCAGCTTTTCCATTTTGAGTTTTGTATCGTTGGATAATCAGCATGGGCTATCCATCACTGATGTCATTCAGGGATGTGAAGCTAGAGATAATAGTTACATAACAAACCACCACTACAGACATTGACATCAGTTGAAACAATGGTTCAAGTTTCTTACATGTCCCCCACCCCTGCTTCTTTTTACCCAACAGTGCAAATGTGCACGCCACATTTTGTGTAGTGGGGTAAAGTGTGGGTACTTACACTTCTTCCAAGACATGTGGCCAGCGTGGAAACATCGACCAAATACTCGGGCTTTCACGACCAATATCACTCACAATACAGGTTTTTTTGGGTCAGATCGCGTAAATATATAAATGTGTTGTTGAACCCATCTGACACAGCTAATTATGAAGGTTTGTCACGTAAACAGAACATGCCAATTCGTTACAAGTACAATACACCGGTGTTTTGTAGAGCGAAGCCACAACATTTACAATCTAAGTACGACGTTTCGCCAGTAGTTACAACTAGCTTCATCAGGCGACAGCCAGATTTGTTTTTCAACTCTGGCAAAAAAAACAACTGTATTATGGACCAAATACCCTGTGAAGTTGCTGCCAGCAGTGGCGTGAGCAAGACGTTTCAGGCCTGTACCCTTTACCATTTATATTTACTCCAGTACCCAAATACCACTGAACCTACAAAACAAGGCCCTCATGAATCTGTACACGCCAAGATATACAGTACAGTATCATGAAAATGTGCAGTCTGCCATAGCTATTGCATTTTTGGATGTTTATTGCCAATCTGACCCATACAGATTGGCACGCAACAGTAGTTGCTTCCAACAAGAGGCCCACCCTACACCAAACTTGTAGGCAACTTTTCAAAGTTTGCCACAAGACTGATTTCATTCCTGACCACACACGCCACCAGCCATCTCCCCTTGGCTTCCCCAAGATAAACTTAGCCCAAAATAAGTACCTGGTGCCGTGTGTCTCCGCTACAACAACCAGCACTTGGGAGACAAAGCTGACTGAGGGTGCATGGCGTTGGCCACATCATCCTTCCATGGATTTTCTGTTTGCTTGTTTTCTTGTTCATGTTTTTGTTTTTTGTCTGTTGCGGTTGCACCCGATTCAAGAGCCGAATGGCTCCCAGGGCAATACCTAATAAATGAACTTTGAACTTTGATGTACCGTGCCAGCCTTACCAGGTGGTCACTGACAGTTGAGGTGCTCAGTCTCCTTTGCTGCCCCCATTGTCTGGAACTCATTTCCTTTCTTCCTCTCTTCTCATGTTGACTGCCTGCCCCCTGTTCAAGCCCAGCCTCAAAGCCTTCCTTGTATCCCTCGGCCAATGATTGCCCGCCTCTCAATATAAAATACGCATGCCCATTGTGTCTGCACAGCGTCTTAAGATGCGGACACATTTCGAGGCTATTCTTGCCCCAGCAGTCTGTCCAGTGAAAAACAGGGAACCTTTCTCTTTGTGTACATAGTCACGTGTGTGTGTGTGTGTGAAACCCACAGTCCTGCGCTCCGCTCTGGGCTCACGAGTGTGGAAGTCTGTATTTCCCCGTGGGTGCCTGTGCTGTGGCTGGATCTAACTTCCGGCAGCTTGGAAGGCCATTTGCGCCGACTATGACAGGTATGGCAGAGTCAATGAACGGAACGAATGTGTTTTACAAAAATACTCTATTGTCACAGAGGATGTCACGTGGCATCATGCCCAGGGCCTGCTCTGCCGTTGAATGGCTCTTATACTTTATGAATGGCGACAGACGGATGTGACTTGAGGCTGTTCTGAGCTTGATCGGCCGTCTGTTAGGTTTTACACCGTATACCGCAGTCGGTGTCAGTTAAAAATCAAGAATGTTACCAGCCATCCTCATTTGACAAGTGGTGGATTACATTGCCAACGATCAAGTAGTAGTGAACATGTACAGCCCAGTTTGTCAATCCAGTGCTGGGCAAGGACCTCCTCACACCTTGCGGGCCGTGAGTGATGTTTGACCATACTTCACCACGCTGGTCCGGATGGATTCTGCTGCACTGCTATCTACAGCCCACACAGCTCATTGCACCGGTCCTTTGTGCATGGTCGTCACCCATGCGAGCAGTATCCAGATGCAGTTCTGCTTAGCTTCTGAGATATTTTTGTTTGTTGCGGTTGCACCCAATTCAAGAGCCGAATGGCTCACAGGGCTATACCAAATAAATGAAACTGAAACTGAAATATGGTGAGGTCGAGTGCTTTCTGGGTGATTTGGTCAAAAGCTTAAAGCAGTAAAGCATTTCCTTTCATTATACTTTTATAATGAGGTTGAATGGTCATCTGAACACAATGTAGTTTGCAGTGGAATTCTGGGTTTAAAAACCAGTGTGAAGAATTGACAGTCAATTTTAACAATAAGTAATGTGTTGAACATTCCAAATTCCTATTTAATTGCCAATTACCACATTGGGTTTCCATGATTACTGGAGAATGTTTTTTTACAAACAGATTTGAGCACAAGTTTAAAGACACAGGAACTCTGACACCAGTCAAGATCGTGGCTCTTAGGTCAAAAACAAAGAGCAGATTTCACACGAAAACCATTATAAAGCTTCTCTGCTTCATAGGAGCACTGATCAAGCAATGTTGTCCTCGTGATTACACATAACGTAGTGCAGTATAGGAATGTGACACATTTTTTATCACCTCATTCGAGACACAAACATCGGTCCTCCTGGCTTTGGCATTCCTCGCAGACACCGGTGGAACCATCTACCGCATCAGAACATCAACAGGCCGATGCGCACACCTCCTTCATGAATGGAAAATTAAAGACAAGCCACAGTAGCGCGTTTGTGGCCATGCGATCTCAACTATGGACCATATTGTAAACCGCTGTAGACTGCCCTCCTTCAGTAGTAGAATAGCAAAACGACACGAACTATCTCCTGAAGCCCTTTCGTGGCTGGCAGACCTCGATATTGGCGTTTAGCTCCTGAACAATTTGCCATACGTTAAGCATACAATATAATTATTCTTATAACTCATTCGAGACTCACTGAGTTTCAAGACTATATTTCAAGGAAGGTCCTGGAATTAGATGATTTACCAGGTTTAAAAATGAGAGTTTGGCATGTGGAAGAAGACCAGATGAAGGACACAATCCACACACACGAGGGGGTAACATCTTGCAGTCCCACGCCTTCAACGCCTGGCAAGCCCTGGTGGTCGCCCAGGCACAACCCTGCTTAACTTATGGGATTCGACAGGGATCGGACACGCTCAGTCTGAATTGGTCATCGGGATTATGAGGCGTTGCACGAAATTGCATCTTGGCCTGCCTTTCCGTGTCTGCCAAACTAACCGCCGTGCGTCCGTGCTCCGTTCTGGCTCCCAGGCTGCCGTTCTTTCCTGGACATCGTCTTTGTTCTCGATGGCTCCAACAGCATCTGGCCCTGGCCGTCCGTGCTGGATTTTCTCAGCTCCATCCTGGAGACATTCCCCATTGGGCCTGGGCAGACGCAGGTGACTGTGTTGCTGAATGCTGCGTGATAGATCATGTGGAGCTAAACGCTCACCATCATTGTCATCGTTATCATCGGTGATTAGCGGCCATGCTAACGATGCACGGCTCACCAATGAAAATAATTTCGTACGCTTGTGATGCATGCATTATACTGTGCATGTGGAAAATCGATTGTTGTGAACCGTGCTAGTGGACTCGGTAGGGGTTCCCGTGTCAGCTCTGCTGAGCCATTCCAGCACTAAGTGGGCTCCTCGAGTGGGCCACGTAGCCTGCGTTGAGAAGTAAAACCCACGCTCTCTAAACTAACCTTTTTTATTATACCAGGTAAGACCCACTGAGCTGTATAGCTCTTTTTCAGAAACCATCTAGCCGCCACAAATGATAGCTCAACCATATGGCTTATGTGGAAATGTATAGCAGCGAAATATTCTGAACGTATGTTTCTAAATGTGGACGGAAAAACCGGAGGACTGGGAGAAAAATCCACGCGACCACAGGGGGAACATGCAAACTCCAAATATACATGCGGCATTATGGTCGGAATCGAACCCACGACCTCCTGTATATCAGGCGAGGTAGTTAACATCTCACCATTGCGCCAACCTCACCCGAGATGCCCTAAAAACCAGTCGGGTTGATGGACAAGGAGAGGACAAACTCACAGAGCCACGTGACTCACGGAGTGTGGAGAGAAGATCTGGACTGTGCTGGAACAGCCCAGGGCCATTCCTGGGCGTCTGGGACTCCTTGCCAGTCAATAAACATAGTGTGCAATTACTGGGAAAGGTCACAGTCCACTCCTTGACCTTTTGACCTGGCTTTGAGTTTATGGTGGCTAATGATGAGTGTACAATATCCGTCGTGTGTCCATGACGTTGTTTTGCATTGATTCCTTCTGAAAAGGGATGGGCAAGCGTGACATCTGGTGCATGTCCCTGGCCATGAGCCCTTGATATCAGCAGAGCCAAATGGAAATACACGGTGACACTGGTTTGATGGATGACCACCGTGTACGGCGGATGGTTCTAAGCCGCAGGGCTAATTGGTGGGCAGCAGAATAAAATCGCAGCAAAATCTAACGAGTGCTGTACTGTTCTTCTATAGCGACCACCCAAATGTACGCTTACGTCCTAACCTCACACACTCGGCTATGTTCCGTGCAGGTTGGCATCATGCAGTACGGGGAAACTGTGAGCAATGAGATGAGCCTCAACAAGTTCACCAACAAAGCGCAGCTGAAGATTGCAGCCAGCAAAATCCCTCAGCGCGGAGGCCAAGTCACCAACACGGCCATGGGCATTGAGACAGCACGGTGAGCCATTTAGTCTGGTGCCATACCAACACCTCGACACCCTGATATACTACTGGTGTAGAACTCTGGTGTGTGAGGTGGCTGGGTTACTCGGAGGTCAAAGTGCTGAGTTTGCACTGCTGAGATCTTGGTTTCATATCCAGGCAGCCGCCTGTAATTAAATCATGTTCTCAAATGTGGTTAGTTGGTGATATAGTTCAGCGTTGTTACAAGGGACTGCATCACGTTAAATCTGGTTCTGAAATATATTGACCTAAATTCTTGCTGTGGCTTTCACACCTGATGATGATTGCTTGTGTTGCAGTCAAAACGTCGTGATAATTTTTATTGTTTTATATTTTTATTATTTTATTATTTCCCCTCTATGTAACTTTACCGAAAGAACCAAGAATATGAATCCCTGCAGTCCCGTAATCTTTAAATCAAAATCGAGCTATGAGAATGTTTTTCTTCTGAACCTGAAACGTCAGCGGTGCCAGTTCATGCTGCAACTTGTGAGCCTCCTGGCCCGTTCTCACTCTCAGGATTGCAACTCAGACTCTCAGAGGTTGCCAGCCCAGTGTTCTCAACAAACAAGTCATTGAATATAAACGCCAGTCATCTGTTTTGTTGTCACGGAGCAGCTTATATACCGATATGGCATGGCATGGGGGAGGCCTGGGATTTTTTGCTGAACAATTTGGGTTATGGAGCATAGACGTTGCAGGCAGTAAAGTTGTGGTTAAGAGAAGTTTCACCCGATTTGAGCCATTCACCTCACTATGTATTGACTATTACTCTTCTCTCTTTCCTTTCCTTTCTATTTCTTCCTTTTTCTGCCCTTACTCTTACTTTTCTCACTCCTTTGTCTCTTAGACAACTCATTGCACACGAAGTGCTTGCAACAAATGAAGCACAATACTTTGCTGTTCTCGTCAAGGAGCATAAACCATCACACGAACTCCAGTCATCCTCGCAGCAGCTTTTGGCTTAGCCATCGAACAAAGACGGTCACTGCATCGTGCACTTTCAGATGCGCTTCTGCGGCCGTCTGGAACGCTCTTCCTTCCGATATTAGGATGCAACTCGAGCTATGCGCTTTTCAATCTAGATTGGAAACTAATTTCTTCAGAACTTATTTTCGTGTTCAGTTTGTTGTCCTCCTCCCGCACCTACGATTAGCGTGGTTGGATGCATACAGTATGAAAGAAGTTCAACATACATACATTGGATCACCTATAACTCCATGTATTTATCCCCATTGCCTTGATATCTTATAATCTGATTCTGTCTCCCCTCGTAAGAGTTGTTGTTTAAAATACGAATAGGTTTTTTTTTCCTTCAAAACTGAGAAGATTTACTCTATTTCTGCTCGTGGTGTTAATGGGAGCGCCTCTGTGTCGGGTCTAGGGCGACCGCATTTTTGCCGGAAAACGGCGGAAGAGCCGAGGCGTCCAAGGTGATGATTGTGGTGACAGACGGGGAGTCATCTGATGCCTACAAACTGCCAGGGGTGATCGAGGCTTGCAACAATGACGGGATCACTCGCTTCGGCATTGCGGTAAGGGGCAGAGGGGCAAAAGGGAGGAGGAGCAGAGGGACAGAGGAGCACAAGGAAGGGCATTCACGAGCGCTTCTAAGCCTTTGGGCAATGTGGGAGGAGGCTGCACAGATGGCAGTCGCCAATTATGGCTGTACCATACTCATGAGTCTTAATAATGATAATAATACTGGAGTACAGTTGCGTTGTGGGTTTTGTGCTGCTTATTGCCGATGAAAATTTGTGCTGCTTAAAATTGAGAAAGAAAAAACGTGGTTACCACAAATCGCGGGTGTGGTGCTAGCCGGCTTCCACAGGTACTTGCTTGCTCGTAGCGCTTGTCCCAACAGTCTTAAAAGGCTATGGGGGGGACCATTTTTATTTGTTTTCATGCATGATTACGTGGAAACATGTGTGCGTGTTTGTTTGTATGCAGTTATTCCGCTTCACGACGAACCCGGCGACACGAATTCGATTCCCGCTCACGGCCAACACCAGTGACATATATCTGAACCGGTCCTGGGCCTCCCCTAGGTCGACTCAGCCTGAAACGAGTACCTGGTGCGATGTGTGAACATCGCCACTAGGGAGACAAAGGCAGCCGGGCGTGGTGCTGGCCACCCACCCCCTCGTGTGCCATGCCCGGCCTTCATAGGTGCTCGCTAACAGCACTTGTCCCAACAGTCTGTTTAGGCTAAACGGGGGATCTTTGTGTTTTTGCTCCCATTTATCTCCATCCAATGCAGGTTCTGGACTACTACCTAAGTTCCAACATTCCTGTGGAAAAACTCCAAGCGGAGATCCGCTCAATCGCCAGCACGCCCACAGAGAAATACTACTTCGACGTCAAGAGCACAGGAGCACTCGTGGACATCACCAAGGCCCTTGGGGAACGCATCTATAGCCTGGAGGGTGTGTAGTGAATTTATGCGTTATAATCCAGCATTGTGGAGGCAAGCGAGGGTTGGTGAATCACACAAATGTTGTGGAACTCCCTTTCCGGGGGCATCGCGGTGCCATACCCTGCCTGGCTGGCCGGGAGAAGGTGCTACAGCAAATGTGCACTTCAACTATTCCGTCTGTATGGGATATAGTGTTTCCCCCTCACACACGTGGGTTTTCCTGCCACACGTAAACTCTCATTAATGAATCGATAACACCTTAATGTGTAGAGGACCGCGGAGCTTTAGGGGGACTTTAGCGCAGGATCTCCTGCTTCTGCTGTATGTCGTTTCTCGTGCCTCCGAGTCATTCTGTCTCTTTGAGAATGAGCAGATACTGTCCGGCGCGTTAACAAGTTGAAAATATATCATTAGAGAATTAAGTGGTGCTTCCAATAGACTCTACTAGACTCAAATATAGGAGGTCCTGCCAAGTTTTCACAGTTTAGGTGATGTTGGTCTGTGTAATCCCAATTGACGGATTTGCAGATAAATTTTCATCATTTGGGAGTTTGGCCAATGCCAGTTACATCATGTGGTCTTTCAAAACGTCACCTATCTGTTGTTTTATTAGGGAGGTGTTTTTGTTGAATGGACTACATTTTAGTTTTTTTATTTATATATAATACTGTTCATTCGTGGCACACCACGGGAAGTGGAGAATCATCAAGGATACACAGTGTAGATGTTGGGGATTAGAGGGTGGCGATGAGAGGGGAGAGAGGGAGGGAGAGGGGAGGAATTTCGAGTAGCGGTGGCCACACAGAAGTTACCAGATTTATGGGAGGCTTGAGCTGATATAGATGTACAGTTATACACGAGTTTACTGTAGCAGCAATTGTATTCCTTATTCCTGTTATTGTAAGCGTTTTCAACCTTTTACACAATGTCACAACATTTGATTGGTGTGGTTACAAATGGGCCTCAAGTGAAACCCATATTTAGAAATAACATGCCAGGAACTCCGACTTAATATTCATCAACATCATGGAACCTCCTTTGCCAGTACCAAAATAAGAGAATAGGTTTTCCCCTTTTTTTCTGGCAATAAAACAGCTGTGTTGAGATGTTAAAACACCAAACTGAAACCTTTTACAAGGAATCATGTCTGCATGAACCACGATACTTGTGGTCAAAATGCAAACAAAATACTCTGATAACATATGCATTGTCTTTGAAACTGATTGGTCCACACCAGCTTTCTTTTGAGCCTCGTCCCAAACGGTGTTAGACCAGAGGATGCCTGTTTTGTTGCCATAAAAAATGGGAAAACCTATTCTCATTCATCAACATCACAGAGAACAGGCAAGGGTCGGTTTTCCTCCCACAACCCACTTATATGGGCCACTAGCTTTACTACCCGGCTTCACCTGAGACTTGGATACACGCGGAGGGTGGGGGGGGGGTGACGTCAGCAGGCACACTGCGTCACGCTGCCGCATGCGGGTGACATCACAGATGTGACGTCACCGCTCACTTGCCGTGCAAAATATATCAATTATTGCGCCCCCCCCCCCCCCCCCACAAAATACAAAAGTATTTTTTTAATACTTTTTGTATTGTGTACACTGCAAGTTTGTTGCATGTCGGGAAGTACGCTAAACATTTTGAACAGACACACATATTCACAACTTTGCCTTTTATATATATGGAGATAGTTCATAAGGTCTGATATGTGAAGTTGTTTCTTATCAGAGGGGATCCTACTCACAAGGAATTTGTGAATCTTCGGTTTGTGAGGTAATTATGAGGCAATCAATTTGTCCAATGATCCGATGGAAGAAAAGAGGATATTGAAAAAAACCTCCACCAACCTCAGGTAGGACTCTGCTGAAAATGAGTCTTGAGGTTTGGTGAATCTTTCCTGGGTGAATAAAATATAATTTGGGAATACGAGTGTCAGTGGCGTAGCATGGTTGGCATGGGCCCGGGTACAAGGAACTAAATGCCCCCCCCCCTCGCCGCCTTCTGCACCGTCCAATTTCTCCCCTCTCCGTACCCCAGCTCCTGGGCCCCTGTGGGCCAGTGCAGTTACACCGCCTGCAGCCTCAATATCTACGCCACTACTACAGACAGAACCAATGAATGAATTATAGTGACTCTAGATTCATGTTTTAACTTAGATGTGGTATGTGTAAGGCCTTTAAAGCAATTATAACGTATATTGATTACGCTGGGAAAATACATTTAGAGCTGAAAAATGACTGTGATGTTGGCAGAGAAGAGCCCTCACGTCACTGTGTTGTTGTCGCTTTGATTCCCATCAGGAACCAGCGACATCTCAACGTTCGAGATGGAGATGTCAGAGGCTGGATTCTCCATACTCCCCGTGAAGGTACGAGCGGCTCCTGACTACGAAGCTCCTGGAGGCAGAGGTCGCAAACGGGTTTTGATTCCTTACCCGTACCCGGCCGCACCAGGGTCACAAATGGGTACCCGTACCCGGCCGGGTACGGGTACCCGTTCACTTCCCGTACCCGTACCCTACCTGAAATGAGTGACAAACGGTGACTCACCAGTGACTCACGGCCTACCCGTACCCGTACCCGGCCACACCAGGTTCGCAAACGGCTACCCGTACCCGTACCCGGCCGGGTACGGGTAGCCGGGTATCGGGTAGGGTACGGGTATCGGGTAGGGTACGGGTATCGGGTAGGGTACGGGTATCGGGTAGGGCACGGGTATCGGGTAGGGCACGGGTATCGGGTAGGGCACGGGTATCGGGTAGGGTACGGGTATCGGGTAGGGTACGGGTATCGGGTAGGGTACGGGTATCGGGTAGGGTACGGGTATCGGGTAGGGTACGGGTATCGGGTAGCGTACGGGTATCGGGTAGGGCACGGGTATCGGGTAGGGCACGGGTATCGGGTAGGGTACGGGTATCGGGTAGGGCACGGGTATCGGGTAGGGCACGGGTATCGGGTAGGGCACGGGTATCGGGTAGGGCACGGGTATCGGGTAGGGTACGGGTATCGGGTAGGGCACGGGTATCGGGTAGGGCACGGGTATCGGGTAGGGCACGGGTATCGGGTAGGGTACGGGTATCGGGTAGGGTACGGGTATCGGGTAGGGTACGGGTATCGGGTAGGGTACGGGTATCGGGTACCCGGTTGCGACCTCTGCTGGAGTTGCTGTTGTGTGATCTCTCTCCTGGGTTCCCAGCCTCAAGGCAGTTTCATGGATTGAGTTCCCTTCGCCCTGTCCAGTCTTGTGCATTCATTTGCATTTTTGATTTGCAGCTTTTGGTGACTGCAGGAATCCATACTTTTTGGTTCTTTCGGTGAAGTCACGTGGTTAGAAATAAAATAAAATACAACAAATCACGACGTTCCGATCGCAACACAACCGCTTGTGTTGCGATCGAAACGACGTGAACCAAAGAGTATGTAATTTTAATTTCATCAACTGGTCTCCTCTTTTAAGTCGCCGAGCAGCACCCTTATTGTTCTACATCTCGATGTAAACCTTACATGGGTAGAGATATAATGTGTAGACAAAGCGGAGCGTGGATACAGATTAATATGCAGCCCCATAGTTTCTGGACGAGCTGTGCAGTCGCCCTGCGAAATGTTTGTCAAGTAAAAACATGTTGGTCGAAATATAATTAATTCATTGGCGTTGCAGCCTTTCGTCATGAACACTGGGAGCGAGAGCCAGAGCAGAATGCGTGGTAGACAAAAGCAGATTGTATCCTTATTCATTCTCTTTAGCATTTAATATTTGTTTAAAGTTTGTCTTAACATTTTACCATTTCGTGCCCACCTGAGTGTGTTGTATGCCTCCCCCCCTCCTTAAACAAGGTCATGCTAAAGGTCGGAAGATCCGAAAATATCGATCGCTTGAGATTTATCCAAAAGTGTGAAGTCACTGTCATAGGAAGTGATGTCACTTCAGTGATATCACATCTGCGCGTTTTTCCCACCAAAAGTGTTGTCACTTGAAATCGGGCAACGTCACTTCAGTTAGCACGAAGGCACGTAACATAACAGAAATTATCTTAAAAATCCCAAATTCCGAAGACAAAAATATCCAAAAACTCGCCTTAAACAAAAATTATTTTTTTTAAATAATTTTTTCAAATCAAAATTTTTTTTTACTCCAAAAACGATCCCTTCGCACCTATATCAATGAACCCGGACGGAGCGTATATATCGATCGATCGCCCTGGTGGGAGACACTAAGGCTCGACCGCTGGATTCACAGGACGGCTGGCTGCTGGGGGCGGTGGGCGCTTTCGATTGGCTGGGCACCGTGCTGCACGTGCCCGACGCGGGCGGCGCCGGCTCCGTGCTGCTGCCCCCAGCCGCGCTGGCCGCCGAGTTCCCGCCGTCTCTCAAGAACCACAACACCTACCTCGGTCTGTCGCAGCGGCCACCACCACCACCAACACCACCCACACCCACACGGCCCAGCCATCGATGTGCCTGGCCTAGCTACCGACGACGTGATGTGAAGTGTTGCATTCGCTGCGTTCGTTACTTTTGTTGCGGTTGTAGTTTGTTTTGGTATATATACTACCAATAACTCTGTGGCTTTAAAAGGAAAATATATTAACGGGCGATGTTTTTGGAAATGGGACTTCTTCATATCACAGGGCCATTGCCTGTTATTTATTTTCCCATTAAGGCCACAGTGTTGTTGATAAATGTGTAGAGGTGATACGCGCTGGGATTAAGGATCGTATGCACAGTGCGTGATGATTGGCTGTGTAGGTGGTGACGCGCGCTGACGGTGGAGGATCAGGGGTCAGCGCGGGGTCGTGGGTTACGGGGTACCGATTGGCTGTGGGCGGTGACGCGCTGAGAGGGAGTGATCAGGTGGCAGCGCAGTGTGATTGGTGGAGTAATGTTAACACGCGCTGGGGAAAGCGGATCGTAGAGAGAGTGCGTCGTGATTGGGTCATTAAGGAACGACGCTCACGTCGACGCCGCATCAGCTCCGTCCCTCGTGAGCAGGGGCTATAAAAGGGGATGCACACAGGCGTAAGGGCAGTGTGTAACCAGCGAAGAAGGAAGACGGGGATGAAGACCTAGAGCCCTGCGGTACCTAGCCCCGCTGTCCTAAGGGGACCGGGACTCTGTGTAACCCAGAGGCGAGTGTAGTGGGTGTAGCCATAGATCTACACGAGCCGAATGTACTATGTGTAGCCAAGGCATAGGGCTTACACGAGTCGAGTATATTGTGTGTAGCCAGAGGCATAGGGTCTACACGAGTCAAGTGTATCGGGTGTAGCCAGAGGCCTAGAGCTTACACGAGATTAGTGGAGTGTGTCGGAGGAAGAAGAGAGACCACACGTTGTATTGTGATACCTAAAGGATTTAATAAAAGTGTGTTACCCGTCAAGAAGTTCCTGCCGTCAATTCCCATACTTCAACTGGCGTCAGAAGTGAAACGGTCCTCCAAGCATGGATACAAGGAGGAACCGTCGGACCCACGGGATTGACCACGAGGACAACCTCGACGACGCGGGCCAGCGGGCATCAGGGGGTGAGGAAGAGGAGCTGCCCACGGGGCAGGATCCACCGACGGCGCCGGTCGAGCGACGGGGGACTGACACCGTGCTTCGCGAGGCACACTCCCGTCTGGCGGAGCTGCTGCTCGCCGCCGCGTCCATCTTGGCGGAGATCAGCTCGTCGGGAGGAGCGGGGACGGCGGCCGACGTGCTACAGGGTCGCCCTGCAGATTCCCGCCAAAACGATTTGGCGATTCCCGCCATTTCATCCGCTCCAACTTTTGGCGGGAACGGCCATCACCACGTGGCAGCGGTTCTCCATGCGCGGCCGCTGACGTCACCAACGCGCGCGGCGGACCGCCATCACACACCCGCCACTGGGGCCGCCATCTTACACACCGACGGGGGGGCAGAGAGGAAGCACGAGGAGGAGGACGACTTTATCTTTCAGCAGCGCCTTCCCACGTTGTCAGCATTCAAGGCGGAAGGCGGGGATTGGAGCCAATTTCAGCGCAGATTTTTGGCGCATCAAGAGATGTCCGCCTGGTCCGACGCTACGGCACTGCGGGCACTGCCTGCCATGCTGGACGACAACGCGCTCGCGGCCTTCACGTCCGCACGCAGGTCGGACCGCTCCACGCTCAAGGATGCGCTGGCTCTCATGGCCAAAGTCTACGGTCCTCCCTCGGCGTGCCGCCATCATTTCTACGCAAGACGGAAGGCGGACACGGAGACCGTGCTCGCCTACCGCACGGCGTTGCTCGCTCTCGCTGACGCCGCGTTCCCTCGTATGGACGAGGAGGGCCAAGATGCGATGGTTTTGGAGCAGCTGCTCAAGTTGGCGCAGGACCTGGGGGTCCCCATCAACACGGCCGACGACACCGATATTTCTTCATTACGGGTCGCCACGAGCATGCAAGCGCACGAGGTCCTTCAACGGAAGCAGGGGGTCGTCTGCAACGCTGCCGTGCCCTCAACTCCGGGTCCGGTTGACACCGTGCCCCAAGTCGTCAGCCCACGAGAGGACGCGTTCATCGCGGGACGAGCGGGGGACTGGAGGTCGGGGGGTCGTTCGCCTCTGCGAGCGGCCCGCAAGCTGGAGCAACCGAGATCTCCGACTACTGTCATCACCTGCTATAACTGCGGCCTTCGTGGCCACGTGGCCTCCGGTTGCCGCGCCCCACGTCAGCGCGCCATGGGACCTCGGCTGGACGACGACCAAGGCCCCAAGTCATCACTGCAAACCCCGGCAAGTCGCGGCACCTCACATGCTTGGCCCGCATACTCGACACGTATGGGTCGTCGCGTTGCGACGAGGGAGAGCCGAGTAGAGTTCGGGGATTCGGTTCGGAGAGGGGGGTTCGGCCGGGACCGGGGAGACATTAAATGGTCGGAATTGGGGCACAGAATAGTGGCTGCCTCAGCGGGTTCATCCGTCGTTACCGGATCGATTGATGGGGTCGAGGTCAGGGTGTTAGTGGACACGGGGGCGTCGGCGACTATTATTTCGGATCTCATTTATAATATTCTCCCGGTACAATGTCGTCCGCTTCTTCCGGTGGATGTGCCATTTTACGCCGCTAACGGGGGATCGTTGGGCATTATCGGTCAGATTAGGGCGTCCATTTGCATTGGTGATATCAAATTGTCGGGACCCGTTTTCGTTTCATCTTCCCTGGCGGTTCCTTGCCTATTGGGCACTGATTTTTTGGCGAAAATGCCCATCAAAATTCTCATTGATCAGCGTTGCATTGAACTACCATCGGGTCGCCGTATTTCATTTTTGACGAGCCCTAATGTAATTCGGACGGCGTGCGCTACCATTCAGGCGTTAGCAACACAGACCGTGCACGTGCCCCCGGGTTCACAAATGTTGATTCCCCTCCGGTTACGGAAGCAATGGGGGAAGGAGGCCTCGGAACAGGCCATGCTTTTGGGTCCTTCTAATAGGGCTGTTGGAGGTCTCGATTTATCGGTGGCTCACACTTTGGTTGGGGCAGACAGGGATCCGTTTGTCATGGTTTTAAACGCTGGGGCGCGGCCGGCCGTCATTCAGCAGGGCACCGTGCTGGCTCACGCGACACGGGTCCCTGCGGAGGAGAGGCTGGTTGCGCAGGCTGATCCGAGCCCCACGAATAGCGTACCATCAAAGGAGGACCTAGATTGGATTGATATGCTGTGCGCGGACTCTGACGATTTGTCAGCGCTACAGTTGGGTGCGTTGCGCGGGTTGCTGATTGAATTTTCGGATGTCTTCAGTAAACATAAGTATGATATCGGATGCACGGACCTGCTACGCCACCACATTGAAACGGGCGATGCGGCACCGGTCAGGCAAAATCCCTTCCGACTGAGTCCTGCTGAGAAGGAACATGTTCAGTCGGCAGTTAACGATATGCTGGAAGCCGACATTATTTCGCCTTCTTCCAGTCCTTGGGGAGCACCTATTGTGCTCGTTAAAAAGCAGGACGGGTCCCTGCGATTTTGCGTCGATTTCCGCCGCCTGAATAAGATCTCGGTGGCCGACGCATATCCGCTCCCCAGGATGGACGAGTCTCTCGATGCATTGTCCGGTGCGCGATACTTCTCGACTCTTGATTTATTGTCCGGATTTTGGCAGTTGCCACTCGACGAGGAGTCTAAGCCTAAGACTGCATTCCGGACTCCAGGGGGCCTGTTTCAGTTTAACCGGTTACCCATGGGACTTCACTCCTCTCCTGCGACGTTTCAGCGTCTTATGGAATTGGTTTTGTCGGGCTTGCAGTGGGAGACGTGCCTCATTTACCTTGACGATGTCATTGTTTTCGGTAAAACGTTCGAAGAACACCTCCAGCGATTGAGAGGGGTGTTCTTGCGAATGCGATCAGCTAAATTAAAGTTTAAACCGGCCAAATGCCATCTTTTTCGTAAATCCGTGAGGTACTTGGGTCACATTGTCGACTCTTCGGGGATTTCTACCGATCCTGCGAAGACGGACTGTGTCAGTTCGTGGCCGACGCCCACGTCAGTGTCAGACGTGCGCAGTTTCATCGGTTTTGCTTCGTATTATCGCCGATTCGTTGAGCACTTCGCCACCATTGCAAAGCCCTTGCACGCTTTAACGGCAAAAGGAGTGAAGTTCCGGTGGGGACCGGAGGAGGAGGCTGCATTCTGCTCCCTCCGGGACGCCTTGGTAAGGGCCCCACCCTTGTGCTATCCGGACTTTGAGAGTCCCTTCTTGCTAGACACGGATGCTAGCAACACGGGCATTGGGGGAGTGCTGTCCCAAGTCGTTGGAGGGGTCGAACGGGTGGTCGCCTATGGTAGCAGGGTGTTGTCGCCGGCAGAGCAGCGCTACTGCGTCACCCGTCGTGAACTACTTGCCATTGTTTTTTTTGTACAACAATTCAGGCCATATCTCTATGGTCGTCATTTCACGGTCCGGACGGACCATGCGGCGCTCCAGTATTCATTACGGGTTGCCCAGCCCTCGGGCCAATTGTCGCGGTGGTTGGAAGTCCTCCAGGACTATCAGTTCACGACTACGTACCGTAAAGGGTTGCGACACACGAATGCCGATGCCCTGTCGCGGTTGTTGCCTTGTCACAAATGTGCGTGCTTATCGGGATCGGCGCGCTGTGAACCTCCGGTTACGGAAGGTAGGGAGGCGTTGGTTGCGACCGCGAGCACACCAATTGGGGATGGTCCCGCTACCCCAGGGGGTCAGGACTCGCTGCTCTCACTGTCGTTGATTGAGTGGGGCCGTCTCCAAATGGCGGACAGCTCCCTGCTGGCATTGCGCCGAAAGACGGAGGGTTCCGAAGGTAGCCACGACCGAACTGGCTCCTACGAGCTTAAGCAGGGCCTGTTGATGAGATGGGACAGTTTGTCCCGGCGGCATGCGATTGTGGTGCCTTCTGCTGTGAGGGGGAAGGTTGTCTTGGCCGCACACGAACGCCTCTTGCATTTGGGAGTTAACAAAACGCTTGCCCTGCTTCAGCGTGACTATTATTGGCCGGGAATGGGGGGTGACGTGGTGAATATTCTGAAGGGTTGTGTTGAGTGCGCCAGACGGAAACCACCGCCCGTGGCAGCTAATCCACCGCTGCAATCTATTCAGGTCTCGCGCACTAACGAGCTCGTTGCACTCGATATTCTGGGGCCCTTTCCGGTCACGCCTAGGGGTAATAAGTACCTGTTGGTGGGGGTCGAATATTTTACCCGGTGGCCTATGGCGTGGCCACTCGCCAACCAGTCGGCGGCGGCTGTGACGGACGCCTTTGTCCAGGGCTACGTCCTGGACAAGGGGGCTCCCGAACGCTTGCTGACTGACCAAGGGAAAAATTTTTCGAGTAAATTACTGCAGGAGGTGTGCGACCTGTTGGGTACCAAAAAGGTGCGTACCTCCCCGTACCACCCGCAGACGGACGGGATGGTGGAGAGGCTTAACAGGACATTGACCTCTATGCTGTGCCAGCAGGTGTGTGAGTCGCATGTTGATTGGGACCTGCAGGTCCCTGGGGTCCTTGCCGCGTATAGAATGGCCCCCCATGCAGCTACGGGGTTTTCCCCGTTTTTTCTAATGTACGGTCGGGAAGCCGACCCGCCCATGGAAACGCAGCTGGGTCTGCCCGCACCACGAACTAATTCTAAATTGGCAGAGCATATTAAATTTAATATTCATAAACTGACAGAGGCAAGGGAGGCCGCACGGCTTAATTCGCGGGCTCGCCAAATTGCGAACGAGCGGTTGCGGGCACGGAAGGTGTCCGTGCGCAATTGGGAACCAGGTGACAAGGCCTGGCTGCATTGCCCTCAGGCACCTTTGGCCACGTCGCCTAAATTGTTGAAGCCATGGCGGGGACCCGTGGAGGTCGTGCGGGTGGCACGCCCCCAGTGCGTTCAGATAAAATGGGGGAAACGCCGTTGGTACGTCCACCCCTCCCGACTGAAACCGTTCTCGCCTCCGTATGGCCTCCCCTTGTGTCGTGAGGGCCGAGCATGTGACGTGACCGACGACCCGGAGGGGGAATTGTCCTTGCCTGCTCCTCACATGTCTCCGCCTGATCCGCTCCCAGGTGTCTCGGAACTGACTGCTGCCGACCACCGGCGGCCGGATCTTCACGGCGGGGCCGGTCCTTCCAGGCCCGACCCGTGCCGTCTAGAGCTGCCGGAGACACCGGACGGTCGCCAACGTCCCGTTCCATACGACGGACCGGCCAGACGGACTCGCGCTAGGTCGCGCTACTTTGTGTAACCTACCACGTGCGGAGTCGAGGCAGCCGGAGCGCCTCGGCACTGCGTGGGTCACAGTGACACTTGGCGCGTTCGTTTTACGGTGTTCGCTTTTATTGTGTTGTTCGTCGGGCTGTATATTGCTTCATATTTAAGGTTGTGTTATGTTGTTGTTGTTGTGTTACGGGGCACACTGGGATGTGGAGTTCTTTATTACTGCGTTGCGTTATGTTGTGTTGTAGGTTAACAGCCGGGCCGGCTGCAAGCTATGTGGGAGGGGGTGATGTAGAGGTGATACGCGCTGGGATTAAGGATCGTATGCACAGTGCGTGATGATTGGCTGTGTAGGTGGTGACGCGCGCTGACGGTGGAGGATCAGGGGTCAGCGCGGGGTCGTGGGTTACGGGGTACCGATTGGCTGTGGGCGGTGACGCGCTGAGAGGGAGTGATCAGGTGGCAGCGCAGTGTGATTGGTGGAGTAATGTTAACACGCGCTGGGGAAAGCGGATCGTAGAGAGAGTGCGTCGTGATTGGGTCATTAAGGAACGACGCTCACGTCGACGCCGCATCAGCTCCGTCCCTCGTGAGCAGGGGCTATAAAAGGGGATGCACACAGGCGTAAGGGCAGTGTGTAACCAGCGAAGAAGGAAGACGGGGATGAAGACCTAGAGCCCTGCGGTACCTAGCCCCGCTGTCCTAAGGGGACCGGGACTCTGTGTAACCCAGAGGCGAGTGTAGTGGGTGTAGCCATAGATCTACACGAGCCGAATGTACTATGTGTAGCCAAGGCATAGGGCTTACACGAGTCGAGTATATTGTGTGTAGCCAGAGGCATAGGGTCTACACGAGTCAAGTGTATCGGGTGTAGCCAGAGGCCTAGAGCTTACACGAGATTAGTGGAGTGTGTCGGAGGAAGAAGAGAGACCACACGTTGTATTGTGATACCTAAAGGATTTAATAAAAGTGTGTTACCCGTCAAAAAGTTCCTGCCGTCAATTCCCATACTTCAAATGCATTGACTGTTTTTGTTATTTGTGCTTGTGCACCACTTTCAAACTCTAGTTTGGGAGTATCTATGAAAACATTAGCAGTGAGGTGGTGCTCTGCTCCATTGGCAGCCTCGTGCTAGTGGTGGAAATTGCACATTCCGAGAACTAGTCTCTCCACAGGCAAATTAACATTTCACTTTTCACAAAGTAGTGCTCTTTTTATCGCCACTTATTTGTGAAAAAGGTGGCATATCCGCAACTATCCAAGATGCTCACATTCTCACGTGAGTTGGGCAGGTCTTTCCCAGATTTCAATATTTCCACTCGACCTGCATTCTGATGTTGAATTCAGGCCAACCCCAAGAAGTGAAATTACCTGGAAGAGTTTTGGCTTCTGTCTCAATTGGCAGCTAAATTCGGCTTGCCTAACCGCATTATTGAAACGGGGCGTGGAGTTTTGGTGGGCCAAGGGGGAGAGGAGCGGGAGGCGACTCGCTTACATAGCTCGGCTCGTGTTTCGTGGACACGTAGTGAGACCGCACAACTCTTGCGTTTCTGTCACGTTCAGGGTACTCGCTCTCATCCGCAAGCCTGCAGGGGAAAACCCTGTACATCGCGGGAGCACCTCGCTACAACCACACGGGCAAGGTGGTCACGTTCGGCAGGGACGACACCTCCACGGATTACGCTATTCGCCAGGCCCTGGTCGGGGAACAGGTACTATTACTGAAATATATTTATTTTACCAGGTAAGGCGCACTGAGCCATATAGCTCTTTTTCAGAAGCGACCTGATCACAAATAATAGCCCAATGAAGTGGCTTATCATGTGGAAATGTATAGCAGCCAAATACTCTAAACGCATGTTTCTAAATGTGGAGGGAAAAACCAGAGGACCCAGAGAAAAATCCACACGACCACGGGGAGAAAGACACACAGTTTCCAAATATACAGCAGGCATCAGGGTCGGGATCGAACCCATGACTTCCTGTATACCAGGCGAGGTAGTTAACATCTCGCCACCGCAGTGAGATGGCTCTTACAGGCCAGCCGAGGTTTTGGTGGTGGTCGTCGACAGCACTTTAGAGTAGTGACAGTACGTGATGCAAAAAGGTGATTTCTGGACAAAAAAAGGTGCGGTTTGTAACAGTGGGAAAGGTTTTCCCCATCATGCCTTGCATGTCACATCACATCATCACCAAAGGGGCATGCACATTGCCTTGTTGAAGGCCAGAAAAAATATGCTCGGTGATTTGCAGGCTGAAAGGGGGCTACGGCATGGGTGTCCCTGTTGTTCAGTGGAGAGACCGCTGAAGCCAGGGGGTGGGACACTAGGGGGTCTATGTTTGACTCGGTTTGGTGCCAAGTTAGTGTTGACAATTAACTTAAAAAAAAAACACAAACAACAAGTACTATTCAACTATTTGTCATGGATGTTACGTAATTAACACGTTGTAAACCTCGTCGCTTGCACGTTAAGCAAGGCTGCCCTATGTCCCACCCCAGCGGCTATTTCATGAAACATATGGGGGCAGTGCTCCTGCGTGAATGACTCCGATCACGAGCACCTCGACTCTTTGCATCCCGATCTCTAAACTCACAGCCACGGTGAGTCATCATCTGTGATCAGATCGCTTCTCAAAAAGAAGCTAATAGCTCAGTGGGCTTTACCTGGTAAAATAAAATAGGCTCGTTTTATTCATATATTTTTAGTTATTATCCTTCCTATACTTTGCACTCCTATCGCGTTTGTGTATTGTTTGTTGTTCTAACGTTCTGAGCCGCCCCTACTGGACATCTGTGAGAAAGAGCTTTATAGCTTATCGGATTCCTCCAGTGTAAATACATATTCTGATTCACTTGCAAATATGCGGCGTCCCCTTTGCCCCTTCCCCACCCACCCATCGCCCACCGCCCAGACCGTGGAGTGCTGCGTTTGAAGCGCTGTGCCACCTTCTGTTGGCTAGGGGCAGTGTTTGTTTCTCAACTCCAATCCTTGCGACCTCCCCATGGCCCACCTTTTCATGGCTACAAATGTTTTTCTATCCACAATAAAAATTAGCCCACAGCACACACCACACACACACACACCTGATAGTTGGTAATCGTGGAAAGCTGCAACGTGAGGGATTTCGCGAGGACTGGAGCTGAGAAACACTGGTATAGCAGCCCAGCGGTGAGACTTACAGGCATACCTCGTGTCTGATGATGAATGGACTTTTAAGCTGCGCGCCTCATTAGTTTCTTTTCTCGAGGAGGATTGTTTTGTTTCTCGATGACGAATGCGCCGGCGTTCCGGCGTGAGCGTTATCCGGTGAGCGGTCCGGTCACCGGGCACGCCGCCGCGTTGCCGTGACCCGCAGATCGGTTCGTACTTTGGCGGGGAGGTGTGCGCCATGGACGTGGACGGGGACTCGGTGTCGGACGTGCTGCTCGTGGCCGCCCCCATGTTCATGGACTCGTCCCGCAAAGAGACGGGCCGCGTCTACCTCTACACGTTCAGCCCCCAGGTGTGCCCCGCCGTGACCCCGGCGCTACAGACAAACTACTGCAAAAGGTGGCCGGGAGGCTTTAGGGGTCAGACCACTGAGCTGGTATGAACGAATACTGGTTCCCCTCAATATGTACCCCTACCCCCACCCCGAAAATATATATTTGGTGAATGTATTTTCTCCCCAGGGTAAATTTTAGTTATTCCCTCCAGTGAACATTTGTTACCGGCATACATTGGTTGATCTTCTTGGTTCTTTCGGTAAAGTCACGTAGAAGGGAAATAAAAAAATATAAAACATAATAATAAAAATTCTGTATGTTTTATTTTTATTATTTTATTATTTCCTTCTACGTGCCTTTACCGTAAGAACCAAGAAGATGAATCCCTGCAGTCACGAAAGCTTTAAATCGAAAAATACATTGGTTGCTCGCTAACAGCACTAAACAGCGTGGCCTGTTGAAGGCTATTTGGGGGCTCTTTGTGTGTGTGTGTCTTTGTCTTGCTGTGCCCATGCAGGATGTGCTGTGTGCAGCACTCATCTCTCCCCGTGTGCGTGTGTGTGTGAGAGTGTGCGTGAGTGTGTGCATATGCAGAGGAGCGGTAGTGTAGCAGTTAGCACGCTGCACTACGAACCTGGTGACCCGAGTTCGATTCCCGATCGGGCACAACACCAGTGATGATTATCTGAAACAGTCGTGGGCCTTGACTAGGTCGACTCAGCGTCAAATGAGTACCTGGTGCAGTGTGTAAACATCTTCACTTGGGAGACAAAGGCGGCCGAGCGTGGTATTGGCCACCCACCTCCTCGTGTGCCGTGCCAGCCTTCATAGGTGCTCACTAACAGCACTTGCCCCAACAGTCTGTTACAGGCTAGACAGGGAATCTTTGTCTTTGTTTGCCTTTGCACGTGCGCAGGGTGTGCTGGAGTGGAGCGCTCACCTCTCGCCGGCCGAGAGCCAGGACTCGCGCTTCGGCTCGGCTCTGGCCGCCGTCCCCGACCTCAACCAGGACGGCTGGGGCGAGCTGGCGGTGGGGGCTCCGCTGGAGGACGAGCGCCAGGGCGCTGTCTACCTGTTCCAGGGCTACGGCCGCTCCCTACGCACCACCCACGTGCAGGTGCTGATCCCCCCGCCCCCCTCACGTAAATCCCTCTCTCCCCCTCCCTCCCCCTCCCTCCCCTTCTTCCCCTCCCTCTGTCTCTCGAACTGACGGAGCTATTTTGTTGAATGTAATCGATGTGTTTTGTCGAATTCATTCATCAGCGCGTCGCGGCATCCGCACTCGGCCCGAATCGCCTCCAGTACTTTGGCCGCGCGCTCCACGGCATGCTGGACATGGACCGGAGCGGCATCCCCGACCTCGCCGTCGGGGCCAACGGCAAGGCCGTGCTGCTGTGGTAAGGAGCCAGTGGCATGGCTCGAGCGTGCAGGCGCTGCAACTGCAGCGTGGCTCACGGAGCCGCTGGGCTATGAAGAGAACAGAAGGTGGAGGGTGCGAGCGCTCATGGTAATTGGCTGGGGGGGGGGGGGGGGGCTCAGCGCTGGCTTTAGGCTTAGGTTGATGTAGGTGGTGTTCCTAGGGCAGCGGAAGATCGTTGCGACTCTCAGCACGGGTCAAGTATCACAGCCGGGTGGCCTGCGATTGTAGGATGTGCGCATGCGGACTGCCGACATTGTCTGAAATGCACGGCGTGTGTGAAATGCGCTGTCGGCACGTGGAGAAGTGAGGTTTCAGTTTCATTTATTAGGTATAGCCCTGTGAGCCATGAGGCTCTTGACTCGGGTGGAACCGCAACAAACAAAAGATGAGCAAAGAACATCTTAAAGTGACAACGCGCAACAGAAACATCCAGGAAAAACCAGTAAAATCTTCGAGAAAAAAGCACTGTATATCAACGCTGTGTGCAAAAATCCCAATGGGATGCAAGTCTAACAATAACCATAAGACAATTTCGATAAAGTTATCAGGCCAACTCCGTACTTTAACTAACATGGCTTAACCATACGTTTACGAAATCACCAAAATAAAGGGAGACAGCGATAGAACGCGGCACGTGCACGGACACACCTCCGATCAGCACGGTTGGCTACATATGGCACGAAAGAAGTTCAACATGAACACACATGCCGCTAAAAGTGACCGCGATTTTCCATCAGGTCCCGAGCGATCGCACGGGTCTCGGTGACGGTCAAATTCAACCCGAACAAGATCAACATGATGGACAAGACATGCAAGGGGATGGGGCAGGACGCTGTTTGCGTGATGGCACAGATGTGCCTCAGTGCCAACGTGCGGCCTGCTCAAATGGCCGGCTCTCCGCTTGGTGAGTGAAGTGTCAACACCCCATATGGTTGCGCTGTTTGTGGACACGGGGGTCAAAATCACAGCTGTCGATGCCACCACGACTCTGCAGCGCTGTCTCGCTTCTGGCAAATCCCACAGCTGCTGCAAAGTAGAAACGGATCCTCCAAGATTTGCGCAAACAGTCTCCCAGTATCCTACCATCTGGCTGCCAGGGCCCTATACAATTTAATTGAATGCACAAATGTGTACTGAATTGAAAAGCACCCATTACGAATTGAAAAATGTTGACACGCACACAATTCGAGGATGTGTCTTCGCTTACTAATCAATTTTAGTTCATGAAGTGATACGTCGTTACAATTGCAAACCATCGGCTTTTGGGCAACATGGATGCGTATCGAGCTGTGCGTGGGGCTACTCGACAGGAAGGTGCTGTGTACACGGCCAGTAGAGCAAAAACAAGAATCTGTAACATGTTTATCTTGCACTTGTGACTGTCAGACATTTTTACTCGTTCTTGGCACAGCAATCTCATGATGGTAATTTTCTATGAGTCAGCAATGTGATACTAAAACTCTAGACATAATAATTATATGTATCTTTTTATAGTGTCGGTCATGCAAAACTGCACCTCACAATGCTGTACAAGGCAACAGCAATAAAATAAAATAAGGAACTGAAGTGCCCCTCACAAGACACATAGCACACCCAAACCAAGGCCAGCTCAAAGGCCACTATCCATCAATCACGAACAAAGCTTGCACAATGTCCACTCTTAATAAACTAGTCCCACTTTCCACAGCAATGCAAAGGTTTAAAAGCCTACTTCTTGTCCGCACTCGATTAAAAACGTGAGCGCATTTGCCCGGCAGAGCTGGTGTACAACATGACTCTGGACCCCGTGCGGTCGGTGTCGCGCGCTCACTTTGTCGGCGGGGTGGAGCGCACCCTGCAGGGCACTGCGACCGTCCGGCCAGATACCTCCTCCCCGTTCTGCAGGGACTACACTTTCTACGTGATGGTGAGAAGCGACACCGAGACGCGCACCCGCCCCCCGTTTTTCAGCGATAGTGCTCACGGCAATATTTCCTTCTCTTGGTTATTGACAAGACCCTCCGTCAAAAGCTGAATTTGGTCGTCTCGATTCGCCATCTGCATTGCGCTCTTCCCTCGCAGGAGCTCGCCGACATCGTGAAGCCGCTGGAGCTGCGCGTGGACCTTGCCCTGAGAGACCCCGAGCAGGGGCCCGTGCTGGATGCGGAGGAGCTCAGCAGCAAGATCTTCGAGGTCTGGAGAACCGTCGTGGCCTAAGGCTCACAGTGGCTGAGGCCAATTCTCTCATTTTTTGGTCATCTTTTCAGGCCATACGGCAATGTTGTTGGTGGTCAGGGATAGATGAATGCAGAGGATTTAGGGACTGCAACCAAGGGGCTTTGATTTTGACGGGCTCCTAAAAATATTTGCTGCTTTATAATGGTTCACAAGCAACACTGTAGCATTATAATACATCCTATAGGTAATTTTCTAATTAAAGCCATCATGTCACTGCGTGCATTACTGCCGGGGCTGTGTCGAAATTATACGTTTTGTTTGGTTTAACTTCGATTTAGCTTTACTTAGAAAATTTAGCACAGGTGGTGATAAGACAGGAAATAGAAGGAATATTTGAGTGGGGAACCCGCAATACTGTCCCAGTCCTTAGCCCCCATCAAACGTCAAAGAGCAAAAACCATCCCCCCCACTGGCTCCACCATTGATCACGTGAACTCTGGCCATCCTTGCAGCGACTTTTGGCTAGCCATCGAAGAAAGGCTGTCACTGCATTGCACACTTTAAGATGCGTTTCTGCGGCCGTCTGGAATGCTCTTCCTTCCGATTTTAGGAAGCCACTGGAGCTATGCACTTTTAAATGTAGATTGTAAACTAATTTCTTTAGAACTGATTTTTGTGTTTAGTTTGTTGTCCTTCCCCCGCACCTCCATTAGCACGGTTGGCTACGTGCGGTGTGAAAGAAGTTCAACACACATACATAGAATCACCTATAACTCCATGTATTTATCCCCGTTGTCTCGATGTCTCATAATCTGATTCTGTTGCCCCTCGTAAGAGTTGCTGTTGAAAATACGAATAGATGTTTTTTCAACATACATGCAAACGTAATCCATCCCGGTGGGTGGTGAACGTGTGCCGTTGTTTGCTCTAACGACGCGCCGTGTAATCGCCGCGTCATCCGCCGCGGGGTTCGCGTGTTGAGCTCGGCGTCCTGTGGGCCCACACAGCTGCCGTTCACCAAGGACTGCGGCACCGACGAGCGCTGCGAGACGGATCTGGTGCTCACGCTGGAGCACGATATCAAGGGCACACGGTGAGGCTGTGTGATTTACGTTCAAGTTCAAGTTCATTTATTAGGTATAGCCCTGTGAGCCATTCGGCTCTTGAATCGGGTGCAACCGCAACAAACAAAACACATGAACAAAAAACATCTTAAAGTGAATATGTGACTGAGTGCAAACAGAAAATCCAAGAAAAGGCAGCAAAAATATTGCAGAAAAAACACCGTACACCAACACTGTGTGCAAAAATCCCAGTGGGATGCAAGTCAAACAACAACAACAACAACCACAAGACAACTTAGATTAAGGCCATCAGTCTAACTCTGTACTACAACAAACAAACATGGCTAAACCAATACACTTTTCAAAATCACCAAAATAAAGCCATGAAAGCAATTGGGCACAGAGAAAGTGGCATTCCCTCCGCACTGACATTTGTGCTGCTGAAGCTATTCCAGGGAGATTTTTTTTTCTCCCAAAATTATGCAGCACGTGATGAATTACGAAAGAAGACCGCAATAAGCTGACACCGTTAATGTTATAACAATGAATTAACATCCATATGACTTATGTGCACATTTTATATCAATACATTTGCTTAAAATATTTCATAATTGATATCTCCCAGATTGCTTTCAGTAGTCACTGGGAGATCGATACAAATTCCAGTAAAGACTGCCGGCCAATCCGGGAGGGTTGGCGACCCTACCCCTACACCGGTTCAAGTCTAAGCTCAACACCTTCATTTCCTATTTATCCTGTGACCTTATATGTATTGTATCTCTGCAGTACTGTGTCATCCACACTTTAATTAATATAGATACACACCTATCTGCTTGATGGTTATTGGTGATGCACAAGTCCCAGTTTTGTACAGTGTCTTGAGATGCAGCTGCATTTAGACACTGCCACCATCATCAGCTATGATGAATCCACTGCTGGATGAAGGATGCCCAGGCCATCACCATCTTTTACGATTGTCCGACCTGCACACGAGCTGGTTTCATTGCTCTTTCTCCACGATGGTGGGCCTCTCAGATGCATTCCATTCCTTGGCTGCCACTGTCATTAAATCCTTTATATTAAGTTCTCTTGCTTGCTTTCTTGTGCGCTTACGACCGTGCAAATCTTTCGGTCGTTTTTTAACCCACTTCCCGTGATCCAATAGAGCTGACATTTTGCACACAGACTCGTTGTACGTGACAATTTATTTTCTTGAAAATCTTTTTTCCATAACTTTACACTTTTTAGGATTTTTTTTTATATTTAATTACCAATTGCTTAATGGTGGCAGGCAATCATCTGACCCATAGGTGGCAGCCATCTCAAGCCAGAGGACGAGAGGACTCTAGCCGCCACGCACATAAAGGATTTAGAGTGAAAAACTTTGCTTTTACGGGTTAATTTTTTATTCTCGACCATCGGCCATCATCCCTTCTCGAGATAGGCCCTGCCCAATCCCACATTTTCTAACCTTTTGCGCGATGTCTTGAACTCTCATCCATGTGTTACTCCTTCTGTCTCTCGATGCAATACCGGGCGTGCGTTTGTTTATCGATTCAAACTATATTTGCGTCATACTGACGGAGTTGCAGTCTGTGCTGTGAATAACGGATGGCCGTAGTAGTGAAAGTGAAATCCCCCCGCAGGGAGTCTCCGTACGTGGTGAGGTCGGAGAGGAAGAAGCACGTGGTGTCTATCACACTGGAGAACCGCGGAGAGAATGCCTACAACACCCGGCTCAACTTCACCTACTCGCCAAACCAGGAACTCCGCAACATCGACACGGAGGTGAGAAGGTTAAACTCAACTGAAATTCCTAAGCGGGGCACTCATCTGGCGAAACAGAGTTTGGGATGAGTCCAGGAGGAGAGCCTCTCGGGACCGGTACAAGGTCATCTATATATATAAAATCGCAAATCTGTCTGTTTGTTTGTCTGTCTGTCTGTGTGTGTGTCTGTGTGTGTGTCTGTGTGTGTGTCTGTTTGTCTGTGTGTCGCCGGACCATACGCAGTTTCATTGGACGAAATGTGAGGGATTTGCGAGACGCGATTGGTCCGTTTGGTTTTCCACGGCGGTTGCCCCTGGCAACGGGTAGCGACGCATTTGCTGCGGGGTAGACGCCATTTTTAATTCCCGTTAAAAATATGTGCACGCATTAACACGCGACTCTGAGGTAAATTCATCAAAGTTTCACGTCCTCTTCACTCCCCCCCCACCCCAATGTGTGCAATTACTATTATAGGGTCGGTAGATAATACAATTATAGCGATTAGACAGTATTATTGTAGCGCGGGGGGGGGGGGGGGTGGGGTTAACGGCCCCAGTACCCAGCCTCAGCCGGGTGGGCAATTTAGGGCGAGGCCGGAGGCTCTGCACGGTACTAGGCCTCGACACCCCACCCGTGTCAAGCGACGACTTTGTGGTATAAACTCGATATACCCAGCGTTGCCCGGGGGAAAATACATTTAAAATATTCTGAAAGCTTTCAAACATTACATAACAATGAAATCTGTGTATATATGTAAGGTTATTAAGAAATATATTTTTCACCCGGGCAACGCCGGGTACTTCTGCTAGTAATACACGAAGGTCCTGCCGATCAAACTGAATCTCCACTTCCTCTACACCCAACCGCCACTCGAGGAAATACCTGCGCTATGTTATACATGGAATTCTGTCATGGTAGAATGGTAAGGCCACTGGACGGTGAATCCAGACGTTGCCAGTTAAATCTGGTGCAGCAGTTGATATGATGAATATAAACAGAACTCCATTCTGTCTCTCCTCATATAAATAAAAAACGTGTTTTATTGTATCAACATTTTGGGTTTCCAGGTCAAAAAATTACATCACGGAACTATTTTCTAGGGTTGCCACCTCAGAGGAACACAAACCTGGGACATAAGTGGCAGAATAATATCTCCCAATAACTTTAAGTCTTTAACGGGTGTTTTATCGTTACAAAACTGACAAAAAAACTGGACTTTTAATGTCCTGGGAAGACTTATAGATTTCTGAAAAAGAGGATGATCCTGTGAAAACCAGGACAGGTGGCATCCCTACTCACCCGTGGTGACGTCACTGTCGGTTGCTGATGGAATTTCGCTTTTCGCAGGACGGGGATGTGAGCGTCGACTGCACAGTGCCCAAGGACCATCCACACTCACAGCTCTGCAAGATCGGATTCCCGGTGTTCAGAGAGAGTGCCAAGGCATGTTGGTGTTTCCCCTGTTGGTGTTTCCCCTGCTTCTTCGTTTAACATTTGCTTCGACCAGAAAATCCCTACCGAATCTCAAGACTCACTCGGTCTCAGGCATCACAGTAGGGGGCGATGTTGCAATATAATTTAGTTGATAATATGATTTGTAAAGGTTGCCAATGTTTGGCGATTTCTTTTACGGACAACACAGGTTTTTAAATACGATCATTTTTGGAGTTTGTTCTTTTATCACGTGTTTAATTCGTGTTTTTTGTCTTACATCAATTTACAGATGATGATACGGTTTATATTTGAGTTCAGCCGCAAAAATATCATGAGCACCGCTTCGTTCTCCGCGGAAGTGAAAAGGTGTGTGTCCTGATCTTCGTTTTAAGAAACTTGTTTGTCTCTGAGTCAGTCTGACAGTCACGCGCACTTGAGTATGTTTGTGTTGTACACAGTCGAGAAGCCCTCATCCAACAGTGGATAGGTTATGGGTGATGATGATATTCACACAAACAACTGCACGTTGTTGGCTTTGGCTGTGGGACAATCGCATTCGCCGCTGTGCACGTTCACGGCATTATATTTGTTGCCATGTTTGATCCTTAATGTTTGTTTAATTGTCCCCGAGGCATTACAGAGCCAGTTAACATGTACTGTATGTTTCATATTGCCATTATTTATTGGAAATATAGCACACAATTGTAGCAATATTAGCATCTATTTTAGTTATTGACCATACACTAAAAAAGAATTAGCAACGACATTGCATAAGGAAATATTACACACGTTTAAATAAACATTCAAGATGAAACGTAGCAATAAATGTCATGCCATGCACGTGCGCGCTGGTGACGCAGTGATAGCGAGGAGACGGCCCAGCAGCTGGAGAACAACTCCGCACGCATCTCTGTCCCCCTTTATTACGAAGCCGACATCATCTTGTTCAGGTACAACCGGATGAACTTTGCATGCGAGATCTTTGAGCGCACGTGTCGAATCGGGCGAGCGCTGTGCGTGGTCTTGGCGAGTGGTTGTAGGATCAAGTGGTTGTAGGATCGTGTGTGTGAAGGGTTTATTTAAGTTTTTTGTCTCTCGTGTGTCAGGGACTCGAACCTTGCACAGCTGGAGGTGAATGACAAAGCACAACGACTGGACATCATTAAGGGGTTGGATGACATCGGTCCTGAATTGAAATACACTTTTAAGGTGAAGTGGTGGTAAATGCCATGAAATCATATTTATCTTTATAATGCAAGTTATATGTTTCTTTCTCACCACAAACCAAGTACTTTTGATAGACATTTAACGGTGAATTGACACCACAATTAAAATCGATTCTTATTTTGGCAATACATGCATAGACTTGTACCTAGATAAAATGGTAATTTTCAAATGATTCATTAAAGTTACATTTAGGCTCATGCAGAAAATGCAATTGCACAAATTAGTAACAAAAATATCTATGAACAATACAAATGAGGTGGTTAAAAGGAGACGAAAGACTTCCATTTATTTGATTCCAACCATGGTCCGAAATTGTGATAATTGTGAATTGTCACAATTTGTCATATTGTGAATTGTGACAATAACAAATTCCATGAATTGTCTAGTCTTCTAATATTCACTTAACCCAATTGCCAAAACATATTACCTTTACAAAAATATAAACAAACGTACGGAACACACGGAATTGATTGGATTCATATTTGAGTGGAAGTCATCTGTAAAAAATGTTTGGCCTCAAGTTCACCACTTTTCTCCTGCCTTTTAACAGGTCCAGAAATTTGGATTCCCTCTTCCGGAGGAAATTAAACTCAAGATCTCCCTGCCGATGTTCACCGCGCAGAATAACCGCCTGCTCTACGTGACCAACGTTCGCTCTTCCCCGGTGTGTCCCTGTGCTCACCGGCAAATCATAATTGCTTCGTTACATTGCGATTATCGTCACTCATTACATTTTTCAAAATATTTAATTTCTGACGAAATGTGCATGAAATAACAAACACGATGGTCAAATATCTACGTTACCAATTAAATTAGCGATTAGCAAATCATTTAACAAATTCATTGTTGTCTCGGAGGTTATTTCACATCGTTGTTTTCGTAGTAAATCCAATTAATATTATTTTCGCGTGTAACTGATGGCCTATACATTCCTTGCATTATAGATTGTAAATTCGCAATGATTGATAAAATATATGGATAACCGTATTGAGATAATCTTCATATCATGAAAACGAATATGGTATTATATTGTGATTAAAGATAGTACATTGCGACAACGCTACTGTACGGGAGATGCGCTGCGTTCCGTCATGCTCTTAGCATGCGCGTGCGCGTGGCGTGAGTCTGTGCGGCACGCGTGGGAGTGCCATACACACGTGCGCTGACTTCCTTCATTGCCTCTGGCAGCCGGAGATGATAACGTGTGACACCGCTGGCATCGTTGATCCCCTGAACATCGCCAAGCATCAGTACGAGGTGCAGCAAACCACGGAGGACCTGTCTAACGTGGAGGAACTGGTGAGGCCCCAGCAACGATGGAGACGCTTGAGCTGGCTTGCTCACTGGCCTGCAATCCCATCGATCCTCCAGGGTCACTTTCACCACTAACCACACACCCATCCCAACCAACGAACTGACCCACCCACCGATTAACCCACCCATCACACAGCTGTGTGATTCACACAGTCGTGCGTCGTTATGCAATATGTATATAAATAAGTAGATATTATACATAATTATTCTACCTTTTTCCCCGTGCACAAGAAACACTTCATCTCGACGGGCCTCCCACGGCGAAGGTGCGAGCGCTCACGGCTCGTCAATTACTGTCCTCTGACCGCCACTGCTCTGCTGCTCACAGACATGCCCAGATGTCCAGTGCTCTGTGTTCACGTGCACGCTCGGCCGGCTGGACGAAGGCAAGATGCGTCGGTCACCGTCACGTCCCGGTTCTGGAACACCACCTTCGCCACGGTAAGATGCTCAAGCCTCTTTTCCACTGCACAGCTGTGCCGTGCCAGGGCCGTGTTGATCCAGCCCAGCCCAACCCAGTGAGGCTCAAGAGGTACCAGATGATTTCTCCACTGCAGAGGCTGAGCCGTGCCACTGACTTCACATGCAATGAATAAGTCGAGCTGTAGCGCACGATAAAAATGATTAACCCCACCCCTGACCCTGCTTGGCCCTGAGACAGTTTAAAATGTCGTATGATGTCTGTGTTTAACAGTTTGGTTCTGGCTTGGCTCAGCCAATAGCCAGTGGAAAACCACTCGTAGCCTGAAGGCCAGCCCCGACCTAGCATGGCTCAGATGTGCCAGTGGAAAAGGGGTATGAGAGACAAGCGTCACTGATGGATGGACAGATGGACATAATATTTTCCAGGAATAGCAATAATTAGTCGAATAGGCCTCTATAACCGAACTACATTTTAAGGGTGAAAAAGTAAAAACTCAATATCAATTTTCTTTTTAATCAAAATATGCCACCATGTTATTTAAACCAAAATTTTAAACAAATATAAAAGATGCGTTTATTTCAATTTGTTATACAGGACTGAAACATACTCTTTGGAGTATGTTACACAGGACTGAAACAGTCTTCATTGTTACCGAGTCTGCAATGCACAACTTGACAGCAGAGGGTGCTTTAGAGCAATGTCCTGCTGGCTGTGAAATATGACCGATAAAACTAAATAATGAATAATGAATAATTTGCAGCCTTTTGTCAATCTACTGCTGGATGAAGGCAGTGCCAGTCATGGGATTTTGGACCCACGTGCGGGTTGGTGAAGTGGGGGGCAATGGACCGGTTCAGCTTCTCACTCGCCATTGGTGTTGGCCACAACTGCCAATCGAAATCGAGTCACTGGTTTCATAGCAAAATGCTCCAACCGCTCCACTGCTTCTGCATTAAATAGCATGAAATAGGTGGTGAGTGTTTCAATGATGAATGTCGTTTCGCGTGACTTCTCTTTGAAGGCCAAGTTTAAATCTGTGAAGTTGGTGTCCCGCGGGAGGCTGGAGTTGGGCCCTTCCTCATTCTTATTAATTCCAAAGGGCAGCGAAGAGAGGACGGTAAGCAGCAAGCGCACAACATCTGCGCGTCGCTATGTATCCATGTATGTTGAACTTCTTTCGCACCGTACATAGCCACCCGTGCTAATCGGAGATGCATGTGTGTGTGCCGTGTTCTATCACCTCACTTCTGTGTGCCGATAACGCATCTCACACACGTGTGCATTGCAAACAATGTAGGCAGTCCGCGTGCACACATCAACCAATCGCAGCCACCTGGCTGCAGCACTTGACACACACCGCGAAGACTCACTCAACGGTTGTTTCTTCACAATGGCCACATGGCCATGTCACTATAATACATTTGATGACCTTCTTTTGGAGATGTTTTCTGGCTGCACTCAGCTCAGATTTCACCATTTTTCAGTAAATGCGCAAACGAGATGACCTAAAACACCTGCGCAAGATTATTGAGTTAATCTGTCGTTAAGGCTTTTGGTGATCCTTAAAGTACCATAACTTATTTGTCAATCCACGGTTATGCAATCGAAATACCCCTCTTAGATTGTAATTTAGTTAAACTGAAATTTAATTGAACCTGCAACAACATTCAAATCAATCAATCGAACTTTATTTAACATAGCGCCTTTCAAAATAAAATTGTCACAGACCACTCCACATCGATAAAACATCATAAACACCCTACTCACAGAGTCACATAGCCCACACATTTGAGGAAAAAAAGCATCTTCCTTACATCCATCCACATTCTTGAAAAATAGAATTATGCTTATTTCAACATGCACAGAAGCACATAGACTGCACTGCCCACTGTTGAGTACAAAAACGAAAACAAAGTTAAAACAAGAATGATTATGGATGATGAAAAGTTCAGGCCTCTACGTGCGGTGAGAAGCTAATCTCAATTTCACACATTGCGCTGGCTGTTCAATGATTAGAGTGTATGATGCATGGAATAAATGATGCATAATAAGACTGAGCCACAAGAGAGCAAATATGTGTAATAAAAGGACTCGAACACTTCTTTCTGTCTTCGTGTCTTTATTCAGGTTCACGTCTTTACCCACACGGCACTCTGTTATAACTCCTGTATTTGTAGCCCCCGGCTATTCACTGCTATTATAGCTTCCTCACCCCTCTGACTCTCTGCTTCATCTACTGTAACCTCCTCCCTGCAGACTTGCTGCTACCCCTATGTGCAGACCCTCTGGCTGTCACTGTATGCAGACCCGCTGCCCACTCTCTCTGTGCAGCCCCGCTGCTGACTGCAGCCTCCTTGCTGCTTCGGGTCGGTCACCGCTGGCCAACGGTGCCGATCCTCGCTTCCCCCGTGTTCGTGGCGATCTCTCCACACCCCGCTTCGCCCTACGTGGCCTTCCTCTGTTCTTGGCTCCCAGTCACTCCCCCTGCTCTTCCGGTTCCCCTCCTTCTATACTCAACCCCTCTCCCCCCACGTGACCTAACTCCTCCCCCCCTGACGGCACCTCAGAAGGGCCGTTTACAACCGCATTACATATGTAACCTTTGCTGCGTTCCCATGACTTCTTAAAAGTGGGCTAGCCTAGTTCATAAACCGGACCTGTGGGGTGAGCCCCGTATTTCCGTGGTAGCCTTGCTCGGCCAAGCTCGTACCAAGTCTGGCTGTGTGGCCTAAATCTTGTGGGCCTGTGTAGCCCACTTTGCTTTTAACCGGGCTACCCTGGGGAAGTCATCACAACACAGGTCAACGTGGAATAGAGACGCGCACCATTACTAAGGTCAACTTCAGGCCATTTGTTTTAATTAGAAAAAATACTTGGCAACAAAAACCTAATCCAAACTTACGTTTAATTTTGTTAAAATGGTAGAAAATTATGATCGCTTGCCTATACTTGCTAAGGTCTGAGTTTTAACAGCAGTGGAAATTTAACATTAGACACCTGGTACCATGTGGTCTTGAAGCGCTGTTGCTGTCGCTGCTAGGTGGAGCTGGAGGTCACGAGGCTGGAAAACGGTGAAGTTCCGGTCGGAATCATCATTGGGAGCATCATTGGTGGTCTCCTGCTGCTGGCTCTGCTCATCTTTGGCCTCTGGAAGGTGATGTCTGCTTTCTCGACAGCTGGTCACACTGAATCTTGCCTGGCAGTTTATATGATTTCAGCGTCCACGTTCAGTCAATATTTTACGTGTATATCCTACAAACAACCTACACGTGACCATTTGTCCCAGCCTGACAGCAATTTTTTAATCTAATATAGAGCCCTGTCTTGCTCCACCTCCCTCCTCTATCTCCCTCCCTCACTTCACTCTCTCTCTCCTCGATCACATTTGTAAAATATCCACATCTGAGTTGGAGGGGGGGCAGTCGTGATGTCAGCACGACGTACGAACCCAGCTCAATGCTAAGGGGTGTACGTGATGTCATCAAGCAGATGTGCGTGGTGACGTCATCACCAGCATGCCAGGCAGGCAGACAGGAATCCAGGCAGGGAGCCACCCAGAATGTTTTTTTTCTAATTTAGTATGAAACTCTTCTATGCGGCCCTTTGAATGTTATCCCCTTATATGAGTGGGGTTTGTCCAGGTAGTTATTTTTATTCCACCATTCGAAACATCCTTTCAAATGTAATTGGCCAAACACAATTTGCAGAATTCTCCTGAAAAAGAGTATTGGGACTTGGCGAGCCTCTTCTGGATGAATAACTCAAGATTCTTTAAATAAAAAAACCTTTGTAATATTTCTTCAGTGTTTTTTTTTTTAAACGTGGTTCTTAATACATTCTTAATAAACATTCTTAATCTGATGTTTTTTTATTGCAGTTTGCATAGATTTAGGTGAACAATGCAAAATCCACATGACACAAAACTGGGAAGTTTGTATATTTTTTTATTTTAAAGATGCTATTTTAACCACCAAATTGTCCTAAATGTTTAATGCGTCTGCTGTTGGCAGAATCCAGAAAAGCATAAACACAATTGACACAACAGCTCTTAAAAATGCAAATCATCAATGTACACTACATAAAGAGTGTACTAATAATTTCTAAAGCCCTTGTGATGCATTAGTTACTCCTCTCTAATGTGTGCGTGTTTTTTTCTTCGTCTTCGTCTTCTCTGAATTCCTTTGCAGCTGGGATTTTTCCGAAGGCGCTACAAGCAGCTGCTGCAGGATGCAGGCCCAGATGGTGGCGAGACCAACCCGCTGTCAGATATGAACACCGTCGAAGAGTAGAGCACACTGCTGCCTGCCTGCCTGCCAGCCAGCCAGGGGACAGCAGCAGCCTGCGAGCAAGCTGATAAAACACACACGAGTGAAAATAATATAAAGCATCAAGAACTGCCTGAAGGCTGCAGTTAAGTCATCCGGTTCTCTGTTAGATCCAAAAAGAGATTTTCAGATATACGTGTTTTTTTTTCTTTATTTGTTAAAAAAAAAAATGGGCATGTAAAACAATGATGGTGGTTGTAAGCCACACCGTGCGTTCTGTTGGTACTGCCGGTTTCAGTTTGTGCTGACTTTTGGGCCTGCCTTGCTGTCGCTGCACGCGCGCTAATGAAATATAGAAAAATGTATATTCAGGCCTGGTGCTTCGACTGCTCAGCGGTTACCCGGGGCACGTCCCATGATTTCTGGAACACCTTTGGGCTGCTGAATTGGCTTCACTGCAGCCGGGTTTACTTGCCTGCTTAAGTGGCAAAATAATTAGGAACGGGAGGGCTATTTTCTTAAATATATGTACATATAGAATTGTTGGAGACCCGATAGTGTAATGCATCACTGTGTTTTTGTGATCCGGAGTCAAGGGTCACGCTCACAAAGGAAGGGGGCTGGCCTCCTAAGAAATGTGCACACGTGAGCTCCATCTCCCCAGCGACGGTGCGAGAACTCACTCAGGACCCAATAAGGTCAAAGGGCATTGGCACAAACTCATTCATCCACTGCCACATCCCATTCCTGCACAGCCTTGATGGTTCCTCAACAGCACAGCCAAATCGAGCACTCAGGACCATGACCCGTGAAAATTGCTAAATACAAATATGAATGAGGTTTATACAGCATATAAATGCAGCTGTCACAAGACGTTGTTCAAAAGTAGAACATGTGCATTGTAGGCCAAGACTTGGAACAAGGAAAACGTATAAATATATATGTACAAATGGGGGGGGGGGGAAGGGGGGGGTTGGTTAATAGGCAGTGGAGAAGAGGACGCTATTGAGCATAAACCTCAACAGATGGAGACAGATGGATGAAGAGCTGGCAACACGGATGGCTGGGAGAGAAGCGATTCCAGACTACAGCAGCAGCAGCAGCGAAGGAGTGACCTCCCTTTCAACAGAGATTGACTTATGGTTTCAGGAAGAACACCTTAGTTACTAAAGCGGAGAGCATATGAATTAAAATTTATATATCGTAGCTTGAAATTTCAGCTTTGTACAAGTTGTATTTGACCTTGCCAGAGAGAATATCAACGTGCGATTGTGTAACTGCGGATTTGCATGCTGCCTGAGTGAAATTAACCAATTGGTCAAGGAGCCCCGAGCCAAGGGAAAAACGTAGCCAACCGCAGACGCCAGTCTGGGTGTTCTGCTGGAGAACAATTCTGAGATCGGGAGGGGTAATATTTTTGTCATTTGCATACAAGTGTTTTCGAGTTAAGGTCGTGCCAAGGAATCTTGTCCCATTTTATCGGTGTTGCACTCAGTTGTGTGTATGTGTGTGTTTTTAAAACAAATTGTAAAATACAATATAGATTCAAGCGTATTTTGTTTAGCGAGATGAGAACTCAAGAGACCAGGATATTGTCTCATTTAAATCTCCTTGTTCTTTAATATATGATTGGGAGGGTGCCTTTAGCGTTACTGTTGAGATCATAACCACAGTACGAACGCCGATGACCATTTTGATTAATACTTTATAGATTGCGTTATGCACAAAGGACGTGAAAGGATTTTCAACAAAACCATGCATAGCACCTTAATATTTAAATCGCTGCACTCTTCCGGGTCTTCACTGGGACCACGTTGTCCAGGAAGCATGGTTCTCAGGTCAAAGTTTGCTGTTACTTATTGACTCATACCTCCGTGATGGCCGGAATGGTGGCCAGTTTCAGCGGTAAATTATTAAGGTTTTAGACCCCAGAGTGGGCCAAAATAACAGCACAGTACAAATATTTACCGTTGGGTATTTCCATGGTAACTGAAATTATATACCTATATACTCCAAATGTATAAATATACTTTTTGTTATGCCCTACATTAATAGAACACATCAACATACATTGCATTCATTACGAAAATCATAGCAGGCCTCCTCGTGAAAACTTTTGATTATTCGTAGTCACGGTGTCTACTCTAATTACACTTCCATGGATTATTTCTGCATGGTCCAGCAGCACAGTTGGTAAAAAAGGTATTTATGTTTACCTGCCTTTTTTTCCTTCCACAATGCAGGACAATTTTTCAATGACCATCGCTGTTGACAAGGGGCAGATGCAACGTGAATGGTGGTGGTTGTAAAACAGAAAAGGGCTTTAGTTGGCATGTCTTGAAATACATTCTTACGCTCATGATACATCTGTCGTATTGTGCGAGGCAATCATTGTTGTTCTACACTTAATGCAAATAATACAAAAATGCTGTTTTTACTAATATTACATTTAGGGTGATGGCGTGAACAAAACTGCAAATGTGACAAAAAAAGTGCGAAACAGTACAAACGAGGCAGTAAAAATGAGACGTAACATATTAAATCAAATCACGACCCCAAATTTGTAATAATTAATTGAATCTCTAGGAGGGTGCATTGCTACTGTCCACTCTTTCATGTTCTTTCGGGATAGTCACGTAGGTGAAAAAATAAAGAATAAAAATAGAAATAACTAAATTAAATCATCAGGTGGGACAACCACAGCAAAATTACTGTAGTGCTGTGATTGTCCCACCTGATGACGGAAGCTTGTGTTGCTTCCGAAACATTGTGATTTAATTTAGGTTATTTCTATTTTTATTCAGTATTTTTATTTTTAATTTTCACCTACGTGACTTTACCGTAAGAACCAGTCAGGTTCCACTCAGCTTCAACTGGTGGCAATGTAACTCTAGGGTTCTACTGCCCCGAAAGGCATGAAAGAGTGGACAGTAGCAATGCACCCTCCTAGAGATTCAATTCATTATTACAAATTTGGGGTCGTGATTTGATTAAATATTTTTGCAGTCACGAAAACTTCAAATCTAGAACTGAGTGGAACCTGACCATGTTCCTGGGTTTTTTTTGGCATCAATGCCACTCATACTGTCGCGTGAAAGGTTGTTGTGTCATCTGTGTTTAGTTTACGGTTATCATTTTTCTTCAACTCGAAAAGTTTGTACATTTCATTGCACTAGAATTTTTTGAAGCTTTTAAAAGGTGATCCTGGTTTCGAGGCGCTGTCCATGTTGGGGGTACGCTCAGTGTTTGTATTTATTGATTACTTCAAAAATTAAGGTGTTTTATATTTTTGTTGCTAGCTACAGTCTTATGCGTGGTATGTTGTTGCTTTTTCCAATACAAGCAAATAACACTGCTGTCTTGTCTCGTCTCCTTATTCATCTTTATTTCACGTTGTAAATTATGAATGCGATTTTGTTTCATATATTTTTTAACATGTTTCATCGTTTAATTCACAATTGTGTTCCTAAGTTGCAGGCTCACGGCAAAACATTTTACATTATAGTTTATATCTTTTTAGAACGTTTCCACATTTGTCCAAAGTAATTACATTGCGATTGACTACATTACAAAACATGTGCCCAATCTCGGCAGGTCTCGGAAGCGAAGGAGGATCGAGTCTCGTTGAGAGCTTGCGGTGACCACCAGAGACTGGCAGGTGCCGTGTGTATGGGGCTGAGAGGTGGCCAGTAGATGGCATTGCTAAAACCTAACCCTCTTGATAATTGGTTTTTTACCCTTCTTTCTGGCAACAAAACTGACACCTTTTTTACAAGGAGTCATGTTTGCATAGACCACAATACCTGCAGCCATAATGCAAACAAAAAGCATAACTCTGATAATATATGCACTGTCCTTGAACTTCAAGGACAGTGCATATATTATCAAGGACAGTGCATATATTATCAGAGTTATGCTTTTTTGTTTGCATTATGGCTGCAGGTATTGTGGTCTATGCAAATATGACTCCTTGTAAAAAAGGTGTCAGTTTTGTTGCCAGATAGAAGGGTAAAAAAACAATTATATTTTTTACTGGCAAATGAGGTTCCAATGGCCTAACCCTCTTATTAGTAGGATCGGATGGCCCTGAGGGTTTCCTGGTGGACAGTCGTAACGCTGAGTGCCTCGTAGCAAGAAGGCTCTGCTTCTGATTCACGACTCGGGTGTCCCTCTCGTGTGGAGTTTGTATACTTTCCAATTGTTCTGCTTTAGGTTTCCTCCGGCATCTCCGGTTTGTTCCTGTAACTAGACAAAAAAGCATTCTTTTTACGTGACTGGTATTGACCAAACATCCCAATGCTCAAAATAAATTCCTGAAAATTTCTCATTTGGGATTACACAGAGGAGCAGCATTGCCCCCTACTGCGAAAACTTGGCAGGACCCTGCTGACAAAGAGGTCATACTCGGTGGTTCTTGTCTGGCCAATGAAGCATAATGCTAATGTTTGTATTTTAGTACTACACGTAACACCTTGACTATTACCAAAACACGACTGCAACAATACAGCACATTGAATTTGTAGTACTGTACATTGTAAGGTTTGACTGCGCCTTATGCCATGCATGGGCCAAACATGATGAGAATACAATACGATACAATTACAATTCCCTTTATGAATGTATTGGTAACATAAGTGCAGTTTAACATGTAGGCTTTAACACGTAGTGCAACTGTACCGAGAGCAGTTCACTTTCAAATCCATATCGCGGTATACACAGCGATGTGTTTTTAAATCCTTTATATTAAGTTCACTTGCTTGCTTGCTTGCGCGCTTACGACCGTGCAAATCTTTCGATTGTGTTTTAACCCACTTCCCGTGATCCAATCGAGCTGACATTTTGCACACAGACTCGTTGTGCGTGACAATTTATTTTCGTGAACATTTTTTCCAAAATTTTCTACTTTTTAGGAATTTTTTTTTTCATATTTAATTTAAAATACCAATGTGAAAATAATGAAACTCTTACTCAAGAAAAACAAATGAATAATAAAATAAAACCGATGCCACGCATATAAAGGATTTATAGTGAAAAACTTTGTTTTTACGGGTTAATTTTTTTTTTATCGAAGAATGATGCTTCTGGAGTTGCAATGTGCGCTATGGTTTTGTCCCACCAGAGTGCAGCGACGTTGTGACGTGAATTGGTATCTGGGGATTTACACAAGAAACGTTCAGAGCTTCCACTTGACGTGAACGCACGCGGCAGGAAACGAGGTCACGACTATCGTGCACTCTTGATTACTCGTGATGGGAGCGACAGATAATTGGAGAATACAGAAATTGTACAGTTAAGAAACACCCAAAAGATATGAATATTTAAGCTGTCAGTTTTTTAAACTAATACCATGATGAGGGTATTTTTTGGCGTAAAAGTTTGTAAAATATTTAATTAGTCATGGAACAGTGTTCTGCAATAGTAGTTGTTTTGCAGCTGAGATTAAAATTCAAGAGGTGCTTTGGAGAATATAGTACATTGGAAGTTCTTACGGGGGACATCAAACACAAGTAACGTAGACTCACGTACAAAGAGAAAAATATACAGGGTTGCATTAGCTAACACTAAGAGTATGAAATGCAATTTTTTTTGCATGAATGTCATTTGAGTTAAATGGGAATGTCAGTAGACGCATTCTGTTTCAATCACAGCCAATCGGTGCAATTTTTCTTTTCAATTAACAAGAAACTAGCCAAGATTAAAGCGTTTCGTCAGTTGCTAATTGACAGCAAATCAAAAGAGACCCCCACGTAACGGCTGTCAACTGAAATGTGTGGACAAGAGGATGTCACGGTACCGTTTACAGAACATCAACGCGGCGTGACGCGGGCCACGCGGCACTGACAGCTCCCATCACCAGCACGCAACACTTCGGTCTGATTCGTAGCCTTGACACACCAACGGAATTGAAATGTGTCACGAGAATGTGCTTTTCCCCCGTAGCTCTTGCCTTGAGTTCCTGACCAGTTTCCACGCAGTATTTCTTTTTCGGCTAAGATGCAAATTCAAGAGTGATGTTGGGATATCTTTCCTACAGGTTAGACCAGGATTATAGCAGTGCTGTGTATAAGTTGTACGGCAATAACCGGTTCACACACACACACGGCTGGGATACCTCACTCGGTACAGCAATGGACGAGTGCTTGCAAGGTCATGTGATCAAAACGTGGTCAACGTGGAGTCAGTCCATCATTTTGCTGGGGTCAGTACCATTATTACAACATGGCGAGACCGTGCGAAGTCAACTTGTATCTGCATAGGAACACGGAATGTTTTCCACGGACAGTGCTAACAGAGATGCTCACCATCTAGTGGCGTAACGTTGTTGGCACGAGCCCTGATGTAAGTATGAATATAAAACAACGATTTGGTGCCTTAATTTGATTCAATAATAGTTTTTTTCCTCCAATGTGGTGCATTTAGTGCCTCTCGTGGCTACATGATTTCAGTGAACAAATTACGTACAGCATTTAATAAATGATACACTATTCAGAAACCTTTGCCAATCCACTGATTAATTAACGCTACCCCAGACTGTGTTGATCGTCGGGGTTGCATCACCATACTTGACCACACTGTGTCAATGCAAAATGGTGAACGGGGGCAGTGCCAGATTAAGCTAGTGCGGGGCATGTAGTATATGTTATAAAGGGGACCTAAATAAAATAAAAACACGTAAATATTAAAACACAAATTTTTTACTTGCATAGTAAAGAAATTGTGTTTTTTCCTTTGCTATACAGCCAGATAGTACGACAAATCGCTAACCTTATACACCCAGTCGTTCATAAAAGTTGAAGGCAGTATAGTACTATAGTAATAGAGCAAGTGCAGAATCACTGCACCGGAATTGATAGCTTGAAAGCATTTAGCGCAGGGCCCTTGAAAGTGCTGGGTCCGTAGCTATATGTGTAGCTACTTTTGCTACTGGGATAACCGGGCACTGAACGGGGGGGGGGGGGGGGGGGGCCTAAGACCGGTTTAGATTCCACTCACCGCTAATGTTTCGCCAGGGCCGGGAATTGAACCCAAGTCACTGGGTTCATAGCATAGTGTGCCAACCACTGCTCCACTGTTCCACCCTATAGAACATACAGTCCAGTCAACACAACGAATATCAATCAATATCCGCTAGTATGCTATGTATGTATGTTGAGCTTAATACTCCGTTTACAAAAACAATAATTACATACCTAATACATGCTAATGCAATTTAAATGCTAAACTCGTAATCAGATGTTCAATGGGGTTTCATATTTTAACGTATTTATTATGAGAGAGAATGCCCTTTGTCAACAGGCACTGTGATATTTTCAGCGGGGTCTCACACATGGGATACATTTTGCACCCATCCCACAGACTTGGCTTCGCTCCATCAGGATTTTTTAATCCGTTGTCACTTGACTTGAGGTTTAGTCTCATGGGATGGACGCATTCCTACACACAAAGACATTCACAATCGCCACACAAACCACTGCGGGCGTGAGACAGAGGTGATTCCCATCGCTCCGTTTTAAGAGCCCCCAGTTGATACGATCCGAATTTTTGCGGTTTGAAATTGCTTCTGGTACTTTTCATTTTGATGAAAACAATAAGCCAAAGCTGTCACACTGTTGAATAATTGATGGACAAGGTTTGCCCAAAGGCAGAAACGTTCATTCCCATGTCTCTGTTCTTCTGGATGGAGACTTCCCTACATGAGCGCTTTGTCTCCCATTCCTGGAAGCAAAGCCTCACACAATGTAGACACAGGCACAGACATGCTTTCTGCATCTCGGCCAATCTATCATTTGCATCTTTCTTGACTCGTAAGCCCGCATGTATATTGGCGTTTTCACCACCACATTACATTATTCTTCAGACAGTTTTGAGTCTGTGCCTGGTAGATTTTGTTTTGCTATCCTCTGCCTAGAAAACTAAGTTAATTATACTCTTTAGACATGCATCATGCTCTCGTTGGGCAACCCCTTCAGCTCGCTCCCATCTTGGCTGTGCATACATAAATAGTTGTGTCCATCAATGCACTGTGGCTCACATGTTAGGCTAACGGTCCTGTGCAGTATTTTTTATTTGTAATTACATTGTTTGATCACACATGCTTGTTTGTTGCGGTTAAGAGGTTGACATTCAACAGTTGAGCATTCAAATGTTAAACAAGGGCAGATAAATCACATCTGTAAACGACGAGAAAACCCTATTCCAGTATAAAAAGCACATCCATTTTGTTAATTACCGTACCATCAATATTCCCTGAAGAAGTTGCATTGTGGTTCTCTTGACTTAGATCACCATCAAAATAAATATCAGCGAATGTGACCCACTGACAGCAGCATTGGTGCAGTGACAGACAAATGTGGA